GACATTTCACATTTACATTTTAGTCATTTAGCAGACGCTCTTATCCAGAGCGACTTACAGGAGCAATTAGGGTTAAGTGCCTTGCTCAAGGGCACATTACGTCATTTAACAGACGCTCTTATCCAGAGCGACTACAAATTGGTGCATTCACCCTATAGCCAGTGGGATAACCACTTTACAATTATACTTTTTTTATTTTATTTTATTTTTTTTTTGGGGGGGGGGGGGTTACTTTATCCTTTTTTGGGGGGAGGGGTAGAATGATTACTTTATCCTATCCCAGGTATTCCTTAAAGAGGTGGGGTTTCAAATGTCTCCGGAAGGTGGTGAGTGACTCACCTTAAGAGATAGATGGGAGGTGTTGAATGGAGTTGAAGGATGGGACTAATAACAACTAACAACAACTAATAACAAGATAACTAATAATGTAAGCATACTGTGTCCATAATAAATAATAAGTATATAGGTTGTAGGTTGGGAGCTTTTGGGAAAGAGCACAGTTAGAAAGATATGCATATAGAAGCAAACCGGATGGACATTATGAAAATGATCGGAGAGGTTGAGAGTAGAAGAAGTTCAGGAGAAAGAACAAACAAAATGTAATTTGTAAAATTGACTGTGTCCATAAAAAGTAGATAGTGGGTATGGGCTGGAAGTAGAGGCCTAAGCGTTGTTGTTCACTAGTTTACTCCAAGTAGGGAAAGGGTGGTGGGGTTGGAAAGTAATAAAGGGGAATGTACAGTGGGGAGAACAAGTATTTGATACACTGCCGATTTTGCAGGTTTTCCTACTTACAAAGAATGTAGAGGTCTGTAATTTTTATCATAGGTACACTTCAACTGTGAGAGACGGAATCTAAAACAAAAATCCAGAAAATCACATTGTATGATTTTTAAGTAATTAATTTGCATTTTATTGCATGACATAAGTATTTGATACATCAGAAAAGCAGAACTTAATATTTGGTACAGAAACCTTTGTTTGCAATTACAGAGATCATACGTTTCCTGTAGGTCTTGACCAGGTTTGCACACACTGCAGCAGGGATTTTGGCCCACTCCTCCATACAGACCTTCTCCAGATCCTTCAGGTTTCGGGGCTGTCACTGGGCAATATGGACTTTCAGCTCCCTCCAAAGATTTTCTATTGGGTTCAGGTCTGGAGACTGGCTAGGCCACTCCAGGACCTTGAGATGCTTCTTACGGAGCCACTCCTTAGTTGCCCTGGCTGTGTGTTTCGGGTCGTTGTCATGCTGGAAGACCCAGCCATGACCCAATGCTCTTACTGAGGGAAGGAGGTTGTTGGCCAAGATCTTGCGATACATGGCCCCATCCATCCTCCCCTCAATACGGTGCAGTCGTCCTGTCCCCTTTGCAGAAAAGCATCTCCAAAGAATGATGTTTCCACCTCCATGCTTCACGGTTGGGATGGTGTTCTTGGGGTTGTACTCATCCTTCTTCTTCCTCCAAACACGGCGAGTGGAGTTTAGACCAAAAAGCTATATTTTTGTCTCATCAGACCACATGACCTTCTCCCATTCCTCCTCTGGATCATCCAGATGGTCATTGGCAAACTTCAGACGGGCCTGGACATGCGCTGGCTTGAGCAGGGGGACCTTGCGTGCGCTGCAGGATTTTAATCCATGACGGCATAGTGTGTTACTAATGGTTTTCTTTGAGACTGTGGTCCCAGCTCTCTTCAGGTCATTGACCAGCTCCTGCCGTGTAGTTCTGGGCTGATCCCTCACCTTCCTCATGATCATTGATGCCCCACGAGGTGAGATCTTGCATGGAGCCCCAGACCGAGGGTGATTGACCGTCATCTTGAACTTCTTCCATTTTCTAATAATTGCACCAACAGTTGTTGCCTTCTCACCAAGCTGCTTGCCTATTGTCCTGTAGCCCATCCCAGCCTTGTGCAGGTCTACAATTTTATCCCTGATGTCCTTACACAGCTCTCTGGTATTGGCCATTGTGGAGAGGTTGGAGTCTGTTTGATTGAGTGGGTGGACAGGTTTCTTTTATACAGGTAACGAGTTCAAACAGGTGCAGTTAATACAGGTAATGAGTGGAGAACAGGAGGGCTTCTTAAAGAAAAACTAACAGGTCTGTGAGAGCCGGAATTCTTACTGGTTGGTAGGTGATCAAATACTTATGTCATGCAATAAAATGCAAATTAATTACTTAAAAATCATACAATGTGATTTTCTGGATTTTTGTTTTAGATTCCGTCTCTCACATTTGAAGTGTACCTATGATAAAAATTACAGACCTCTACATGCTTTGTAAGTAGGAAAACCTGCAAAATCGGCAGTGTATCAAATACTTGTTCTCCCCACTGTATATATATATTTTTAAGGATATGTATGTGTGTGTGTATATGTGTGTATGTGTATATGTATATATACAGTGAGGGAAAAAAGTATTTGATCCCCTGCTGATTTTGTACGTTTGCCCACTGACAAAGAAATGATCAGTCTATAATTTTAATGGTAGGTTTATTTGAACAACACATTCCAGAAAAACGCATGTCAAAAATGTTATAAATTGATTTGCATTTTAATGAGGGAAATAAGTATTTGACCCCCTCTCAATCAGAAAGATTTCCGGCTCCCAGGTGTCTTTTATACAGGTAACGAGCTGAGATTAGGAGCACACTCTTAAAGGGAGTGCTCCTAATCTCAGTTTGTTACCTGTATAAAAGACACCTGTCCACAGAAGCAATCAATCAATCAGATTCCAAACTCTCCACCATGGCCAAGACCAAAGAGCTCTCCAAGGATGTCAGGGACAAGATTGTAGACCTATACAAGGCTGGAATGGGCTACAAGACCATCGCCAAGCAGCTTGGTGAGAAGGTGACAACAGTTGGTGCGATTATTCGCAAATGGAAGAACCAAAAAAGAACTGTCAATCTCCCTCGGCCTGGGGCTCCATGCAAGATCTCACCTCGTGGAGTTGCAATGATCATGAGAACGGTGAGGAATCAGCCCAGAACTACACTGGAGGATCTTGTCAATGATCTCAAGGCAGCTGGGACCATAGACCATAGTCACCAAGAAAACAATTGGTAACACACTACGCCGCGAAGGACTGAAATCCTGCAGCGCCCGCAAGGTCCCCCTGCTCAAGAAAGCACATATACAGTCCCATCTAAAGTTTGCTAAGGGGACAGGACAACTTCACCGCATCAAAGGGACAATGGACGGAGCCATGTACTGTCAAATATTGGGTGAGAACCTCCTTCCCTCAGCCAGGGCATTGAAAATGATTGAAAATCCTTCCATTATGACAATGACCCAAAACACACAGCCAAGGCAACAAAGGAGTGGCTCAAGAAGAAGCACATTAAGGTCCTGGAGTGGCCTAGCCAGTCTTGTTTTGCCACCAAGTACTAAGTCATGTTTTGCAGAGGGGTCAAATACTTATTTCCCTCATTAAAATGCAAATCAATTTATAAAATGTTTTACATATACAGTGGGGAGAACAAGTATTTGATACACTGCCGATGTGTCAGGTTTTCCTACTTACAAAGCATGTAGAGGTCTGTAATTTTTATCATTGGTACACTTCAACTGTGAGAGACGGAAACTAAAACAAAAATCCAGAAAATCACATTGTATGATTTTTAAGTAATTAATTTGCATTTTATTGCATGACATAAGTATTTGATCACCTACCAACCAGTAAGAATTCCGGCTCTCACAGACCTGTTAGTTTTTCTTTAAGAAGCCCTCCTGTTCTCCAGTCATTACCTGTATTAACTGCACCTGTTTGAACTCGTTACCTGTATAAAAGACACCTGTCCACACACTCAATCAAACAGACTCCAACCTCTCCACAATGGCCAAGACCAGAGAGCTGTGTAAGGACATCAGGGATAAAATTGTAGACCTGCACAAGGCTGGGATGGGCTACAGGACAATAGGCAAGCAGCTTGGTGAGAAGGCAACAACTGTTGGTGCAATTATTAGAAAATGGAAGAAGTTCAAGATGACGGTCAATCACCCTCGGTCTGGGGCTCCATGCAAGATCTCACCTCGTGGGGCATCAATGATCATGAGGAAGGTGAGGGATCAGCCCAGAACTACGCGGCAGGACCTGGTCAATGACCTGAAGAGAGCTGGGACCACAGTCTCAAAGAAAACCATTAGTAACACACTACGCCGTCATGGATTAAAATCCTGCAGCGCACGCAAGGTCCCCCTGCTCAAGCCAGCGCATGTCCAGGCCCATCTGAAGTTTGCCAATGACCATCTGGATGATCCAGAGGAGGAATGGGAGAAGGTCATGTGGTCTGATGAGACAAAAATATAGCTTTTTGGTCTAAACTCCACTCGCCGTGTTTGGAGGAAGAAGAAGGATGAGTACAACCCCAAGAACACCATCCCAACCGTGAAGCATGGAGGTGGAAACATCATTCTTTGGAGATGCTTTTCTGCAAAGGGGACAGGACGACTGCACCGTATTGAGGGGAGGATGGATGGGGCCATGTATCACGAGATCTTGGCCAACAACCTCCTTCCCTCAGTAAGAGCATTGAAGATGGGTCGTGGCTGGGTGTTCCAGCATGACAATGACCCGAAACACACAGCCAGGGCAACTAAGGAGTGGCTCCGTAAGAAGCATCTCAAGGTCCTGGAGTGGCCTAGCCAGTCTCCAGACCTGAACCCAATAGAAAATCTTTGGAGGGAGCTGAAAGTCCGTATTGCCCAGCGACAGCCCCGAAACCTGAAGGATCTGGAGAAGGTCTGTATGGAGGAGTGGGCCAAAATCCCTGCTGCAGTGTGTGCAAACCTGGTCAAGACCTACAGGAAACGTATTATCTCTGTAATTGCAAACAAAGGTTTCTGTACCAAATATTAAGTTCTGCTTTTCTGATGTATCAAACTGACTGAGACAGACAGCCAGCCAGCCAGCCAGCCAGCCAGCCAGCCAAGCCCGCCCTCACTAGCCCATCACAGCTACAGTCTATTTTAACCAGCCAATCAGATCCAGGGAATGACAGAGGGTTCCAATCTGGAACCCAGAGAGAGAGAGTTCCGTTGGACAGCGGTTGACTTTCTTTCCGCTGGGTCTCCAGTTTACTCTGCTACGTTCTGGAAGAGGTTAGATACACCAGAACTGCTGGAGTTCTGCTATAATAGTTCTGTGGATGTTTGTTTTATCCAAAGCTGAGACAGAGGAACTTTAGATGCTGGGGAGTTATCTATCTTTATTCTATTGGACCAGGTAAGTTGACTTGAGAATGAATTCTCCTTTACAGAAATAAGTAGGGGGGGGAGTTACAGGGGGAATAAGCCTGTTGGAAGCTGATTATGTACAGGGTAGTAACAAGGTGGGCTGGAGCTTACTCTTCTTTCAGTAACCCTGCTCCTCTCTCCCCCCCCCCCCCCCCCACCCTTAAAAAACAAAAAAAACAAAAAATAAAACAAAAAAAAATAAAAAAAAACCAAAAAAAAAACCAAAAAAAAAAAAAAAAAAAAAAAAAAAAAAAAAAAAAAAACAAAAAAAAAAAAAAAAAAAAAAAAAAAAAACAAAAAAAAAAAAAAAACCCAAACAAAAAAAAACAAAAAAAAAACCAAAAAAAAAACAATAAAACCCCCAAAAAAAACAACCCAAAATAAAATAAAACAAATCCAAAAAAACCAAAAAAAAAAAAAAAAAAAAAAAAAAACCCAAAAACCCAACAACCCAAACAAAAAACAAAAGACAAAAAAAAAACAAAAAACAAAACAAAAGCCAAAAACCCCACACACCCAAAAAAAAAACAAAACATAAAAAAAAAAAAAAAAAATGAACAAAAAAAGGGAAAAACAACATCACCAAAACCTCCACAAAAAAAAAAAAAAAAAAAACCAAAAAAAAAAAAAAAACAAAAATAAAAAAAACAAAAAAGAAAAAAAAAAAATAAACAGCAAAAAAAAAAAAAAAAATAAAAAAAAAAAAAAAAAACAAAACCCCCATAAAAAATAAAAAAAAAAAAAAGAAAAAAAACAAAAAAAATAAAAAAAACAACAAAAGAAACCCAAAAAAACAAAAAAACAAAAAAAACAAAACCCCCAAAAAAACCCCCCCAAAAACCCCCCCACCAACCAAAACCCACCCCCCAGGTTTCACCCCCTTTTCTCTCTCTCTCTCTTCTCTCTCTCTCTCTCCCCTCTTCTCTCTCTCTCTCTCTCTTCTTCTCCCTTCCTCTATCGTTTTCTCTCTCTGCTCTCCTATCTCCCCTTCTCTCTCTCTGGTCTCTCGTCTCTGTCTCTCTCTCTCTCTCTGTTTCTCTCGCTCTTCTCTCTGTCGTTTTTGTCTGTCTGTCTTCTGTCTTTCTCTGTCTCTCTCTTCGGGCTTGGGGCTCTTTTCTCTCTGTTCTTCTCTGTCCTGTCTCTGTCTCTCTCTCCTCTCTTATCCTCTCTCTCCTCTTCTCTCTCTCTCTCTCTCTCTCTCCTCTCTCTCTCTCAGAGAGGCACAAGGGGAAAACAGACTGAGTGAGTTCTGCCAAGTTTTTGACGGATAACTGTCAATCATTAATTATTACCTTGCTTTACCCAAAAACACACACACACACACACACAAAACACACACACACACACACCCCACACACACACACACACAACACACACACACACACCACCTGGCTATCAGGTGGAAGAGTAGCTGCTTTCCTTGGCAGGAACTAATGTTATTGTATTTATTATGGATCCCCATTAGTTCCCGCCAAGGCAGCAGCTACTCTTCCTGGGGTTTATTATGGATCCCCTTAGTTCCTTCCAAGGGAGCAGCTACTCTCCTGGGGGTTTTTTATGGTCCCCATTAGTTCTTCCAAAGGCAGCAGCTACTCTTCCTGGGGTTATTATGGATCCCATTAGTTTCCCTTCCCAAGGCCCGCAGCTACTCTTTTGGGGTTTATTAGGGATCCCCCTTAGTTTTCCCGCAAGGCAGCAGCTACTCTTCCTGGGGTTTATTAGGATCCCCATTAGTTCCTGCCAAGGCAGCATGCTACTCTTCCTGGGGTTTATTATGGATCCCCATTAGTTTCCTTCCAAGGCAGCAGCTACTCTTCCTGGGGTTTATTATGGATCCCCATTAGTTCCTGCCAAGGCAGCAGCTACTCTTCCTGGGGTTTATTATGGATCCCCATTAGTTCCTGCCAAGGCAGCAGCTACTCTTCCTGGGGTTTATTATGGATCCCCATTAGTTCCTGCCAAGGCAACAACTATGCTTCTTGGGGTCCAAAGACATGAAGGCAGTTATACCATTTTTAAAAACATTATAATACATTCACAACAGATTTCACAACACCTTAAGTGTGTGCCCTCAGGCCCCTACTCTACTACCACATATCTACAGTACAAAATCCATGTTATCGTGTGTGTATGCATGTGTCTGTGCCTGTGCATTTGTACCTGATGTGGGATAGAGTTCCATGTAGTCATGGCTCTATGTAGTACTGTGGACTTGGGGACTGTGAAGAGACCTCTGGTGGCATGTCTTGTGGGGTATGCATGGGTGTCTGAGCTGTGTGCCAGTAGTTCAAACAGACAGCTCAGTACATTCAACATGTCAATACCGCTCACAAATACAAGTAGTGATGAAGTCAATGTCTGCTCCACTTTGAGCCAGGTGAGATTGACTTGCATATCATTAATGTTAGCTCTCTGTACATCCAAGGGCCAGCCTTGCTGCCCTGTTCTGCAATTGCAATTTTCCTAAGTCCCTCTTTGTGGCACGACTGAACAGTAGTCCAGCTGCGACAACCCTAGGGCCTGTAGGACCTGCCTTGTTGATAGTGCTGTTAAGAAGGCAGAGCAGCACTTTATTATGGACAAACTTCTCCCCATCTTAGCTACTGTTGTATCAATATGTTTTGACCATGACAGTTTACAATCCAGGGTTACTCCAAGCAGTTTAGTCACCTCAACTTGCTCAATTTCCACATTATTCATTACAATATTTAGTTGAGGTTTAGAGTTTAGTGAATGATTTGTCCTTTTAGTTTTTGAAATATTTAGGACTAACTTATTCCTTGCCACCCTTTCTGAAACTAACTGCAGCTCTTTGTTAAGTGTTGCAGTCATTTCAGTCGCTGTAATAGCTGACATGTATAGTGTTGAGTCATCCGCATACATAGACACACTGACTTTACTCAAAGCCAGTGGAGTGTCATTAGTAAAGATTGAAAAGAGTAAGGGGCCTAGACAGCTGCTCTGGGGAAATCCTGATTCTACCTGGATTATGTTGGAGAGGCTTCCATTAAAGAACACCCTCTGTGTTCTGTTAGACAGGTAACTCTTTATCCACAATATAGCAGGGGGGTGTAAAGCCATAACACATACGTTTTTCCAGCAGCAGACTATGATCGATAATGTCAAAAGCTGCACTGAAGTCTAACAAAACAGCCCCCACAATCTTTTTATCATCAGTTTCTCTCAGCCAATCATCAGTCATTTGTTGAATGTCCTTCCCTATAAGCGTGCTGAAAGTCTGTTGTCAATTTGTTTACTGTAAAATAGCATTGTATCTGGTCAAACACAATTTTTTCCAAACGTTTACTAAGGGTTGGTAACAGGCTGATTGGTCGGCTATTTGAGCCAGTAAAGGGGGCTTTACTATTAGGTAGTTGAATGACTTTAGCTTCCCTCCAGGCCTGAGGGCACACACTTTCTAGTAGGCTTAAATTGAAGATGTGGCAATATCGTCCGCAATTATCCTCAGTAATTTTCCATCCAAGTTGTCAGACCCTGGTGGCTTGTAATTGTTGATAGACAACAATCATTTTTTTCACATCTTCCACACTCACTTTAGGGAATTCAAAATTACAATGCTTGTCTTTCATAATTTGGTCAGATATACTTGGATATGTAGCGTCAGTGTTTGTTGCTGGCATGTCATGCCTAAATTTGCTAATCTTGCAAATTAAAAAATCATTAAAGTAGTTGGCAATATCAGTGGGTTTTGTGATGGATGAGCCATCTGATTCAATGAATGATGGAGCAGAGTTTGCCTTTTTGCCCAACATTTCATTTAAGGTGCTCCAAAGCTTTTTACTATCATTCTTTATGTAATTTATCTTTGTTTCATAGTGTAGTTTCTTCTTCTTTTTATTCAGTTTAGTTACATGATTTTTCAATTTGCAATACTTTTGCCAATCGGTTGTGCAGCCAGACTTATTTGTCATTCCTTTTGCCTCATCCCTCAATCCACTGGGATTTAACAGTTTTTACAGTCATTTTCTTAATGGGTTCATGCTTATTAGTAACTGGGATAAGCAATTTCATAAATGTGTCAAGTGCAGTGTCTGTTTGCTCCTCATTACACACCACGGACCAACACATATTCTTTACATCAACAGCATATGAATCACTACAAAACTTATTGTTGTCTTATTGTATGACCTCTTATACACTATATTAGGCCCAGCATTTGGAACTTTGGTTTTCCTAGATATGGCTACTATATTGTGATCACTACATCCGATGGATTTGGAAACTGCTTTCAAGCTAATTTCTGTAGCATTAGTAAAGATGTGATCAAAACATGTTGATGATTTAATTCCTGTACTGTTTGTAACTACCCTGGTAGGTTGACTGATAACCTGAACCAGGTTTCAGGCACTGGTTACAGTTTGAAGCTTTCTCTTGAGTGGGCAGCTTGATGAAAGCCAGTCAATATTTAAATCACCCAGAAAGTATACTTCTCTGTTGATATCACATACATTATCAAGCATTTCACACATGTTATCCAGATACTGACTGTTAGCACTTGGTGGTCTATAGCAGCTTCCCACCAGAATTGGCTTTAGGTAAGGCAGATGAACCTGTAGCCATATCACTTCAACAGTATTTAACATGAGATCCTCTCTAAGCTTTACAGGAATGTGGTTCTGAATATAAACAGCAACACCTCCACCGTTGGCATTTCTGTTTTTCTGTAAATGTTATAACCAATGGGGATCCATAATAAATACAAATACACACACACACACACCTTAGCTGTGTTTCTGGAAGGAAACCTGCACTGTAATGGAGAAAGATAACAGGTGAATGAAGGAATGACATCACTTCCCCTTCCCTTTATTGTGTTCTTCTTTCCTTTCTTCCAGCCAAGGACCTCTCTCCTCCATCAGGGCCGCCATTAAGAGGAGTGAGTCTGCAGCCCTCTCTTTTTACCACTCCTTTATTACTCTACGGAACAAGTGATGACTTGGCAGTCCTGTCATTTTTGTGTCTGTGCTACAAATGGCCACCACTGTGATGTTTCGGTTGCTGTTGCCTGTATATAGGAACTGCTCCGGGGTGAAGTGTCCCATAGGTACAGGTCCAGGATCAGCTTCCCCTCACCCAAGCATAACCTTAACCATTAGTGGGGGAAAATGCAAAACTGACCTAAGATCATTGTGTAGGCTAGGGGAACTGTTGCTAGTGCTGTAAAGTAATCTTCCCTGGTGTTAGTAGCACTCTTGCCGCTTTCAAGACAACTGGGAACTCTGAAAAAACACGAGGTCAAATCATGACGTCAGTGCTCTTCAGGTCGGAAAGTCAGAGCTCTAGAAAGAGGCCTGAGTTCCCGAGTTGGAATTCCGAGTTGGATGACTCTTCAAAACGATTTTTGCCAGTTGGATCTGTTTTTTTTTCTGAGTTCCCAGTTGTCTTGAACGCGCTGAATTCGGAAGTCTGAGATTTCCCAGTTCCCAGTTGTTTTGAACACGGCATTATGACTAGGCCATTTTATGTTATGAGCTTGATAATGAGTGTGATGGTTAAATTGGATCTTGTTATGAGCTTGATAATGAGTGTGATGGTTAAATTAGATATTGTTATGAGCTTTATAATGAGTGTGATGGTTAAATTAGATATTGTTATGAGCTTTATAATGAGTGTGATGGTTAAATTAGATATTGTTATGAGCTTTATAATGAGTGTGATGGTTAGATTTCCCCTCTTGACCAGGTGTCCCTTGTGAAAGAGGTTTTCAGACCTCAATAGTACTTCCTGGTTAAATCAGAATAAATAAAAACTGTGTTTTTCTGTCTCAGCGTCACCTAGATCCACTTCCCTGAGCGAGAGCAACCCCAGAGACAGGAGGTAAGATTCACAGCTGAGTTTAGTGATGCATTTCACAGACACAGATCAGTTACATCAAAATTTTAGCTTTCTGGCGTTTACATCATGATAAATTGAGCTTTGATTACATGCCTCTGGCCTGTGGCATATCTCTGGCCTTTGGCATACTGATGTCCTGTGGCATACCTCTGGCCTGTGGCATACTGATGTCCTGTGGCATACTGATGTCCTGTGGCATACCTCTGGCCTGTGGCATACCTCTGGCCTGTGGCATACTGATGTCCTGTGGCATACCTCTGGCCTGTGGCATACTGATGTCCTGTGGCATACCTCTGGCCTGTGGCATACTGATGTCCTTTGGCATACTGATGTCCTCTCTATGTTATTATAGGCGTCCAGAGATCACCATCCTATCAGCTGAGCCGCTGGCGTCCAACACCTGGTTCCCCGGGGCTTCTGGGGGATTCCCTCCGCCCCCTCCTCCTGCTGCTATGATCTGGGGCAGCAGTATACCTCCTACTATACAGGTAACTAACCCTCCTCTTCCTCCTCCTCCTCTTCCTCCTCCTCCTCCTCCTCCTCCTCCCACCATTATGATCTGGGGCAGCAGGAATACCTCCTACTATACAGGTAACTGAACCCTTGACCCTCTTCCTCCCTTCCTCCTCCTAATCCTCCTCTTCCCTCCTACCTCCCTCCTCCACTCCTCCTCCTCCTCCTTCCTCCTCCCGCCCATTATGGATCTGGGGCAGCAGTATAACCTCCTACTATACAGGTAACTAACCCTCCTCTTCCGCCTCCTCCTCCTCCTCCTCCTCCTCCTCCCTCCTCCTTCCGCCTCCTCCTCCCACCAACTACGATGCTGGGTCAGCAGTATACCTCCTACTATACAGGTAACTAACCCCCTCACGCTTACCTCCTCCCTCCTCCTACCTCCTGCTCCTCCTCCCCACCATTATGATCATGGGGGCAAAGCAGTATACATCCTACTAAACAGGTTAACTGACCCTCCTCTTCCTCCTCCTCCTCCTCCTCCGCCGCCACCACTAACGATTCTGGGGCAGCAGTAGACCTCCTACTAAGAGGTAACTCACCCGCCTCTTCCTCCTCCTCCTCCTCCGCCTCCTCCTCCATCCCACCAATTAATGATTCTGGGGCGAGCAGTATACCTCCTTACATAACCAGGTAACTAACCCCCTTCCTCTCCTCCCTCCTCTTCCAAAGGTAACTAAACAAACGAGCGAGAAGCGGGCAAGAGCAAGACAGAAGAGACCATTCCAACCAGTATGATCGGGGGGCAGAAGTTACCTCCTAAATACAGGTAACTGACCTCCTCTTGCATCCTACCCTCCTCCTCCTCACTCCCACCACTACGATCTGGGTCGGCGGCAGCGTTTAACCGCACTAATATGAGGTTAAACTAACCCTCCTCTTCATCCCTAATACTCCTCCTCCTCCTCATCATAACGAAACCAAAACTCGCGCCAAATTAGGATAGGGCGGAAGCGGGAAGCCAAAAGCAGTGTACGAATGCAGAAGATAAAGGTAACTAACACCGCCGTGCCTCCGCCTCACACAGAAGGAGGAGAAAATAGGAATAAGAGAAGAACAAACCACTAGGATCGGGGGCAGCAGCAGGGAGAACGCCAAGAGACCAGGTAAAACGACGTCCGCCGCTCCTCCTCCGCCGCCGCACGGCATCCTCCTACTCCCTACCAATATGATTCTGGGGGCAGCAGCATAGTATAACCAGCAGTATGCAGTAGAACGCCCAAACGAACAGGGGAAGAAACCAGACGGGAATGCCAGACCGAAGTAAGAAAGACGACGAAACGGACGAGGCAGAAGAGAGGAAGAAGACCGAAGGCCCACACAATATGAATAGGGGGAAGCAGGATACCTCCAACTATACAGGGAACTAACCGTCCTCTTCCTCCTCCTCCTCCTCCTCCTCCTCCTCCCCCTCCTCTTCCTCCTCCTCTTCCTCCTCCTCCTCCCACCACTATGATCTGGGGCAGCAGTATACCTCCAACTATACAGGTAACTAACCCTCCTCTTCCTCCTCCCCCTCCTACTATCAGGTAACTAACCCTCCCTCTTCCTCCCCTCCTCCTCCTCCCACCATTATGATCTGGGGCAGATCTACATATACACTCCTACTATACAGGTAACTGACCCTCCTCTTCCTCCTCCTCCTCCTCCTCCTCCTCCCACCATTATGATCTGGGGCAGCAGTATACCTCCCACTATACAGGTAACTGACCCTCCTCTTCCTCCTCCTCCTCTTCCTCCTCCTCCTCCTCCCACCACTACGATCTGGGGCAGCAGTATACCTCCTACTATACAGGTAACTAACCCTCCTCTTCCTCCTCCTCCTCCTCCTCCCCCTCCTCCCACCATTATGATCTGGGGCAGCAGTATACCTCCAACTATACAGGTAACTAACCCTCCTCTTCCTCCTCCTCCCACCATTATGATCTGGGGCAGCAGTATACCTCCCACTATACAGGTAACTAACCCTCCTCTTCCTCCTCCTCCTCTTCCTCCTCCTCCTCCCACCATTATGATCTGGGGCAGCAGTATACCTCCTACTATACAGGTAACTAACCCTCCTCTTCCTCCTCCTCCTCCTCCTCCTCCCACCATTATGATCTGGGGCAGCAGTATACCTCCTACTATAGAGTAATATACCCGACAGAAAGAATGGCGTGGACGACAATTGAATCTTCTTTAATATGATGATGGACACCCACATCTTCTTTAATATGATGATGGACACCCACATCTTCTTTAATATGATGATGGACACCCACATCTTCTTTAATATGATGATGGACACCCATATCTTCTTTAATATGACGATGGACACCCACATCTTCTTTAATAAGATGATGGACACCCACATCTTCTTTAATATGATGATGGACACCCACATCTTCTTTAATATGATGATGGACACCCACATCTTCTTTAATATGATGATGGACACCCACATCTTCTTTAATATGATGATGGACACCCACATCTTCTTTAATATGATGATGGACACCCACATCTTCTTTAATATGATGATGGACACCCATATCTTCTTTAATATGATGATGGACACCCACGTCATCTTTAATATGATGATGGACACCCACATCTTCTTTAATATGATGATGGACACCCACATCTTCTTTAATATGATGATGGACACCCACGTCATCATGACTGTTGTAAGTAACAGCAAACTTTCCAGGACATAGACATGTCTTATATGGGCAGAAAGCTTATATTCTTGTTAATCTAACCACACTGTCCAATTTACAGTAGCTATTACAGTGAAAAAATACCATGCTATTGTTTGAGGAGAGTGCACAACAACAAAAAACTTATCATGGCAACTGGTTTGATACGTTCACTTCTGAAGATAAATAATATACTTACATTCAGTAATCTTGCTCTGATTTTTCATCCTAAGGGTCCCAGAGATAAAATGTAGCATAGTTTTGTTTGATAAAATCCATTTTTATATTCAAATGTAGGAACTGGGTTCTACAGTTTGAACCCCTGCTGTCTCTTGCTCCACACCCACCCCGCCCGGTCATCTAGATGTGTGAAAGTTAGTGTATAAGCTAAGGATCCATCATGTATGACATTCCTGGGAGTGTGTAAACTTACATTTTGTATTACCGAATCATTTTTGTATGTTCTCTATAGTTATGTACTTGAAAATGTATCAATTGATCAATTCGGCACATTTGGGCAGACTTGATACAAAATAGTCCAGTATTGCAGTGCTTCACTGGATCAATCTGAAACTTTGCACACACACTGCTGCCATCTAGTGACCAAAATCCAAATTGCACCTAAACTGCAATATTATATTGTGGCCTTTCTCTTGCATTTCAAATATATAGAAATGCATGTTTTTTTGTTTGTATTATCTTTTACCAGATCTAATGTGTTATATTCTCCTACATTAATTTTACATTTCCACAAACTTCAAAGTGTTTCCTTTCAAATGGTATCAAGAATATGCATATCCTTGCTTCGGGTCCTGTTAGATTTGGGTATGTAATTTTAGGCAAAAATTGGAAAAAAGGATAATGGACACCCACGTCATCTAATTTAATATTATGGACACCTGTTGTGGACATTTTAGTACTGAGAGAGACATAGACAACTATTCAAGCAATCATCTTTATTTAACATTGATGAATTATTGCAATAATGAAGCCGTCGACCGCACACTCTGAATCTGTGTTTTGCCGAGAGCTTAACTAATAATGAAAAAACAGAGATATTTTATAGGAGACCTCAAAATGCTTAGTCAAGGCTGGTTCCACCCCTCCCATGCAGATTGGGGGCACCATAAGACACTTTGGGTTCATCTCCTGGTCGTCTGTCTCTGGCGTTATTTTAAACCCCACCTCGTCTTAGTTTCCCAGATGCCAGGATAATTAGGAATACTGAGGACCAGATGCCAGGATAATCAGGAATACTGAGGCCTGTGTTCTGCTCCTCCAGGCTATCTCTATCTGGTTAAACATACACCACATCTTGTCTATGGAATGCAGGCTGTAAATCAGCTCAAGCTATCTCTAGTGACCATACGCCCAGATTAGCTGCAGGGAGTTAAGAGTGGAGACCATGAAACACAGCCTTAGTAGAACAGACATGTCTTACTGTTTGTTAAGTAAATCATTGTTAAATATCCAACAAATGAGGTAAAATGTGATTTTTCTGTCACACACCCACACGTCTTCTTTAAAATGATGGACACCCACGTCATCTTCTTTTAATATGATGATGGACACCCACGTCATTGTCTTTAATATGATGATGGACACCCACGTCATCTTCTTTGATATGATGATGGACACCCACGTCATTTTCTTTAATATGACGATGGACACCCACGTCATCTTCTTTAATATGATGATGGACACCCACGTCATCATCTTTAATATGATGATGGACACCCACGTCATCTTCTTTAATATGACGATGGACACCCACATCTTCTTTAATATGATGATGGACACCCACGTCATCTTCTTTAATATGATGATGGACACCCACGTCATCTTCTTTAATATGATGATGGACACCCACGTCATCATCTTTGATATGATGATGGACACCCACGTCATCTTCTTTAATATGATGATGGACACCCACGTCATCTTCTTTAATATGATGATGGACACCCACGTCATCTTCTTTAATATGATGATGGACACCCACGTCATCTAATTTAATATTATGGACACCTGTTGTGGACATTTTAGTACTGAGAGAGACATAGACAACTATTCAAGCAATCATCTTTATTTAACATTGATGAATTATTGCAATAATGAAGCCGTCGACCGCACACTCTGAATCTGTGTTGCCGAGAGCTTAACTAATAATGAAAAAACAGAGATCTTTTATAGGAGACCTAAAAATGCTTAGTCAAGGCTGGTTCCACCCCTTCCATGTAGATTGGGGGCACCATAAGACACTTTGGGTTCATCTCCTGGTCATCTGTCTCTGGTGTTATTTTAAACCCCACCTCGTCTTAGTTTCCCAGATGCCAGGATAATTAGGAATACTGAGGACCAGATGCCAGGATAATCAGGAATACTGAGGCCTGTGTTCTGCTCCTCCAGGCTATCTCTATCTGGTTAAACATACACCACATCTTGTCTATGGAATGCAGGCTGTAAATCAGCTCAAGCTATCTCTAGTGACCATACGCCCAGATTAGCTGCAGGGAGTTAGAGTGGGGACCATGAAACACAGCCTTAGTAGAACAGACATGTTTTACTGTTTGTTAAGTAAATCACTGTTAAATATCCAACAAATGAGGTAAAATGTGATTTTTCTGTCACACACCCACACGTCTTCTTTAAAATGATGGACACCCACGTCATCTTCTTTTAATATGATGATGGACACCCACGTCATTTTCTTTAATATGATGATGGACACCCACGTCATCTTCTTTGATATGATGATGGACACCCACGTCATTTTCTTTAATATGACGATGGACACCCACGTCATCTTCTTTGATATGATGATGGACACCCACGTCATCTTCTTTAATATGATGATGGACACCCACGTCATCTTCTTTGATATAAATAAAATAATAAAAATAAATAATAATATGCCATTTAGCAGACGCTTTTATCCAAAGCGACTTACAGTCATGCGTGCATACATTTTTTTTGTGTATGGGTGGTCCCGGGGATCGAACCCACTACCTTGGCGTTACAAGCGCCGTGCTCTACCAGCTGAGCTACAGAGGACCCACGTCATCTTCTTTGATATGATGATGGACACCCACGTCATCTTCTTTGATATGATGATGGACACCCACGTCATCTTCTTTGATATGATGATGGACACCCACGCCATCTTCTTTAATATGATGATGGACACCCACGTCATCTTCTTTAATATGATGATGGACACCCACGTCATCTTCTTTGATATGATGATGGACACCCACGTCATCTTCTTTAATATGATGATGGACACCCACGTCATCATCTATAATACGACGATGGACACCCACGTCATTTTCTTTAATATGATGATGGACACCCACGTCATCTTCTTTAATATGAACATGGAATCCCACGTCATTTTCTTTAATATGATGATGGACACCCACGTCATTTTCTTTAATATGATGATGGACACCCACGTCATCTTCTTTAACATGATGATGGACACCCACGTCATCTTCTTTAACATGATGATGGACACCCACGTCATCTTCTTTGATATGATGATGGACACCCACGTCATCTTCTTTGATATGACGATGGACACCCACGTCATCTTCTTTAATATGACGATGGACACCCACGCCATCTTCATTAATATGATGATGGACACCCACGCCATCTTCTTTGATATGATGATGGACCCCCACGCCATCTTCATTAATATGATAATGTAGCCATGAGAACACTCAGGATGATAATGACCAGTATTATAAACACATCGATTTAGGGGGAGGTCCTTGAGAGTTCCTCCTTTGATTCTAACACAAGACTGCTACATGATTGGTTAATATAGAACGGTGGGTAGGCTGTATGTTAAAATATAAATGACGTTTGTACATGGACAGGAGAAGATGAATCATGTCTGGAAAACCATGGGATTTGTCTAAATAAGACAAACTAGTTTTCAGCTGCTTGATAAGGAACAATGGAGTATCGTAAATGATCTTCAAAACAAGTCTGTAGGCTCTGGAAAATATATGTGAAGAGATGCATTCTCTGAGAACCACGAGTGTAAGCAAATTTGCATATCAGTCATCTGTCATCACGTTTATATTGCTTTCTGCCTATTTCAGCAAATCTGCTCTTCTGTCTCCGCATGTTGCTTTTGTTAGTATGTGTTATAGTAGTACTATACTGATTTATTGAAGTTTAAACTAGGATATGTTGTTAAGACCTCATCAGCCTGGTTATGAGTTATCATAGGTCATAGGTCATTAGTTATCCAATTAATATAGGTCATAGGTCATTAGTTATCCAATTAATATAGTTCATAGGTCATTAGTTATCCAATTAATATAGGTCATAGTCATTAGTTATCCAATTAATATAGGTCATAGTCATTAGTTATCCAATTAATATAGGTCATAGTCATTAGTTATCCAATTAATATAGGTCATAGTCATTAGTTATCCAATTAATATAGGTCATAGGTCATTAGTTATCCAATTAATATAGGTCATAGTCATTAGTTATCCAATTAATATAGGTCATAGTCATTAGTTATCCAATTAATATAGGTCATAGGTCATTAGTTATCCAATTAATATAGGTCATAGGTCATTAGTTATCCAATAATATAGGTCATGTCATTAGTTATCCAATTATATAGGTATGGCTATTATCCAATTAAATAGGTCATAGGAAGTTACAAAATAGAGGTCAAGTAAGGTCAAGTATAATTTGATGAATATTTCACCGCTCAGAATCAGTTCCAACCCCTCCTCCCCCCTCGAAGTGCCGCGCACGCAAAGGAAATATAAACGAAACCGAAGCGCAAAAACCGTCCGATCAAGCACGCACGAAGCCGCACAAAGACGTAACCCCCACTCAGTCCAGCGTCACCATCCCAGGACCACTCCTCAGCAACCTTCCTCCCGTCTCAGCAGAGACACCTCCTCCTCCGTACTTCCTCCATCCCACTCCTCTACCCTCAATCCATCCTCCATACCACTTCCGCCCATCCTTCCCTCCTTCCCCCCTCCTTCCCTCCTTCCTCCCTCCTTCCCTCCTTCCCCCCTCCTTCCCTCCTTCCCTCCTTCCCTCCAGCCCCCTCCTTCTTATGACGAGGTGATTAGAGAGAAGAGTCAGGTCCAGGTCCAGGTGTTGCCTCCCTCCTCCTCCACCTCTTCCTCCTCCCCCCGACGCTCTGTCTCCACAACTACCATCGCCACGCAGACCGACGCCGGACTAGAATTCTCAGCAGCGGCCCACGGCCACGCCCCCAACCAGAGACGCTCTGTGGGTAAGAGAGGGGCGAGGAGAGAGCAGTGGGGGCTGCTGAGGGGAGGACGGCTCATAGTAATGTCTGGAACGGAGCGAATGGAATGACATGGAAAACCATGTGTTTGATGTATCTGATACCATTCCACTGATTCCACTCCAGCCATTACCACGAGCCCGCCCTCCCCAAATGAAGGTGACACCAGCCTCCTGTGGGAGAGAGGGGTTGTTTAGGGTGAGGAATTGTACATTAGGAAAGTGTGAGGTATAAAATGTGACAGTGCTGCTTTTGGTTTTAATGCTGTGCTGCTCTGTTCCAAGACACGTTAGCTGAAAGGGACACAATAAAGAATGGTTATTATTAGAATTATTAGTATTATTAGATAATGTGTGAATATAATGTGTTTGTAGCCAGGAGACCTCCCGTTAAAGCCAAACCTTCGCACGCTGATGACACGACGGGTGCTGCTACTGTTGACCCACTCATCTTCCTAGAAGACAGTCCAGCACTACACACACACACTCACACCGTCGAGACCAGACCAACAGTGTTTCACTATGAAATCTTGACCTCTGATCCTTTCTCACCTCTGACCTCTGCCTCTGGCAGCCAGACCGACCAATGGGGGCAGTCCTCCTTCGTCCTGCCTCCTCATTCCACTATTGTCTTGACGACGCCCTCCGACCCTCCTCTGCCCCATAACCAGCCCAGGCCACGTCCTCGCACAAAGAATAGCCTTCGACCAATCAGGAGAGAGGTCAAAGTTCAGACCCTGGTGAGGCTGGGACAGACAGGAACTGAGGTCACAGAGAACCAAGAAGTGAGTCATCAGGGGGGAAAGTACCTTCAGGAGCTCCTAGACGCCTTCAGCTCCGACGATTGGGGCTTCCCTGATCACCATAGCAACGACAAAGTAGAGAGCGACTTGAGAGCAGAAGAAGAGGAGGAGGAGGAGGAGGAGGAGGAGGAGGAAGATATGAGAGCCAGGATACAAGAGGACCATGGTAACCATGCAGACAGTGACCAAGGAGATGGAGCTTTTCTAGGGGGTGGGAGACCTGAACCCCGCCCCCGAATCCAAGCACCCCCCAAACCGGCCCCGCCCGTCACCCCGAAACCCTCCCTCGCTGCCAAGACCTCCCGCAAAGGATTATGGGAAGATGGAGGCTCGATGGCGATAGACGTGAACTTGACTGTTGATACGGTTACCACCTCCCAATCCACACCCCCTCTCCCCTCTCCCAAACCTACCGAGGCCCCCTCAAGTACCCCTGCCCTTAGTCCTGTCCCTGTTACAAGTCCTAGTACCCCTGTCCCCGCACCCCGACCCCTGCTCCCTGGAAAGCCCCCCTCTGAACCCCAAAGACCAAACCCCCAGGTGGGGCAGACAGAGGGGGCCCCCCCAAGACCTCCAGTAGCACCCAGGACCAACGGGGCCGTAGTACCCCAGGAGGGAAGCACTGTGGTCGGCCAGCCAACACCAGCGTTACCCCCTAAACCCTCCATAGACCTCCACAGCACCAACACTAGACCAAGTGTTCGTCAGAAGTCCACTGCCGTGTCATCATCCCGTAGAGCGAGTGGTAAGTATGTGTGTAGTGTGTAGTGTGTGTGTGTGTGTAGTGTGTAGTGTGTAGTGTGCAGTGTGCAGTGTGCAGTGTATTAAGCACTAAGCTTAATGGCTCATGGCTGCAGTACAATGAAGGCAGTTAAGGCAGCCATAGGCCGTGTTCACGTGCGAGTCGCAACTCTGAAATTTCCGACTTGCTAACTGGGTGTAGTTATACAGTGCAGTGTTCATCCAGTTAGCTAGGGAGGAATTTTCGGAGTTTCCTAGTTCCGACTAGCACGTGAACGCGGTTTTAGAATAGGCCTTAGTCAGGAGTTAGTCACATGATAATCCCGGGTTCTCATGCCTTATTGCTTTTAGAAAAGGTTTGCCAACATATTAAAAAAAGATGAATGACATGTTTTCATTAATTCGATTTTAATGAGTAAATGTATTTTATTTTACCCTTCCACCAGACAATATAGTCCGGGGAAAAGACAGTTGTTAGTTCTGAGATTCAGAAGTTGCTAACCAAACAGGCTAGTCCTTCATTCTATTTGCAACGGTTGCTATGCTAAACAAATCACTGGCATGTTGCTATGCAGGCTAGCTCCTTCTCCTCTGCTAGCTAGCCAACTAAAGCTAACACACAATCACATCAAGCAGCTGAAAGGACAGCAAACTATGTGCACTTTCATTTGTTTTACCTTTGTTTCTGTTGCCATTTCTTTGGATATATCCGTTTTATAATGATCCTGATAAATGAATTCAACCTGGCTCAGAGAAGCTGTCAGTCTCCTCACGTTGATATGCGTGGCACAGTGTAGACCGTCTGCCTCGCCACAGGTCGGCGAGGCAGACGGCTTTGGTTTATACAAACCTCATCTGTTCAAACCAAATGCCAGGGGAAATAATATGTAGAGACATGTTTTGCAGGGGAGAATAATTGGCTGCTGTGGGACAGTGGATAAGCATTGATCCATCTAATGGAACTGTTAACAGGCATTACATGGAGAATGCAGGGATTATTTATTATTACTGTTCCTGATAATACCGTCTACCACACATACAGATGAAGTCTGAAGTTTACATACACCTTAGCCAAATACATTTAAACTACGTTTTTCCACAATTCCTGACATTTTAATCCTAGTAAAAATTCCCTGTCTTAGGTCAGTTAGGATCACCACTTTATTTTAAGAATGTGAAATGTCAGAATAATAGTAGAGAGAATGATTTATTTCAGCTTTTATTTCTTTCGTCACATTCCCAGACATTTTCTATAGGATTGAGGTCAGGGCTTTGTGATGGCCACTCCAATACCTTGACTTTGTTGTCCTTAAGCCATTTTGCCACAACTTTGGAAGTATGCTTGGGGTCATTGTCCATTTGGAAGATCCATTTGCAACCAAGCTTTAACTTCCTGACTGATGTCTTGAGATGTTGCTTCAATATATCCACATAATTTTCCTTCCTCATGATGCCATCTATTTTGTGAAGTGCACCAGTCCCTCCTGCAGCAAAGCACCCCCACAGAATGATGCTGCCACCCCCGTGCTTCACGGTTGGGATGGTGTTCTTCGGCTTGCAGGCAACCCACTTTTTCCTCCAAACATAACGATGGTCATTATGGCCAAACAGTTCTATTTTTGTTTCATCAGACCAGAGGACATTTCTCCAAAAAGTACGATCTTTGTCCCCATGTGCAGTTGCAAACCGTAGTCTGGCTTTTTTATGGCGGTTTTGGAGCAGTGGCTTCTTCCTTGCTGAGCGGCCTTTCAGGTTATGTCGATATAGGACTCGTTTTACTGGGGATATGGATACTTTTGTACCGGTTTCCTCCAGCATCTTCACAAGGTCCTTTGCTGTTGTTCTGGGATTGATTTGCACTTTTCGCACCAAAGTACGTTCATCTCTAGGAGACAGAACGCGTCTCATTCCTGAGCGCTATGACGGCTTCGTGATCCCATGGTGTTTATACTTGCGTACTATTGTTTGTACAGATGAACGTGGTACCTTTAGGCGTTTGTAAATTGCTCCCAAGGATGAACCAGACTTGTGGAGGTCTACCATTTTTTTTCTGAGGTCTTGGCTGATTTCTTTTGATTTTCCCATGATGTCAAGCAAAGAGGCACTGAGTTTGAAGGTAGGCCTTGAAATACATCCACAGGTACACCTCCAATTGACTCAAATGATGTAAATTAGCCTATCAGAAGCTTCTAAAGCCATGACTTGAATTTTCCAAGCTGTTTAAAGGCACAGTCAACTTAGTGTATGTAAACTTCTGACTCACTGGAATTGTGATACAGTGAATTATAAGTGAAATAATCTGTCTGTAAACAATTGTTGGAAAAATTACTTGTGTCATGCACAAAGTAGAGGTCCTAACCGACTTGCCAAAACTATAGTTTGTTATCAAGAAATTTGTGGAGTGGTTGAAAAACAAGTTTTAATGACTCCAACCTAAGTGTATGTAAACTTCTGACTTCAACTGTATTATATATACTACAGTGGGGAAAAAGTATTTAGTCAGCCACCAATTGTGCAAGTTCTCCCACTTAAAAAGATGAGAGAGGCCTGTAATTTTCATCATAGGTACACGTCAACTATGACAGACAAATTGAGATTTTTTTTCTCCAGAAAATCACATTGTAGGATTTTTAATGAATTTATTTGCAAATTATGGTGGAAAATAAGTATTTGGTCACCTACAAACAAGCAAGATTTCTGTCTCTCACAGACCTGTAACTTCTTCTTTAAGAGGCTCCTCTGTCCTCCACTCGTTACCTGTATTAATGGCACCTGTTTGAACTTGTTATCAGTATAAAAGACACCTGTCCACAACCTCAAACAATCACACTCCAAACTCCACTATGGCCAAGACCAAAGAGCTGTCAAAGGACACCAGAAACAAAATTGTAGACCTGCACCAGGCTGGGAAGACTGAATCTGCAATAGGTAAGCAGCTTGGTTTGAAGAAATCAACTGTGGGAGCAATTATTAGGAAATGGAAGACATACAAGACCACTGATAATCTCCCTCGATCTGGGGCTCCACGCAAGATCTCACCCCGTGGGGTCAAACTGATCACAAGAACGGTGAGCAAAAATCCCAGAACCACACGGGGGGACCTAGTGAATGACCTGCAGAGAGCTGGGACCAAAGTAACAAAGCCTACCATCAGTAACACACTACGCCGCCAGGGACTCAAATCCTGCAGTGCCAGACGTGTCCCCCTGCTTAAGCCAGTACATGTCCAGGCCCGTCTGAAGATTGCTAGAGTGCATTTGGATGATCCAGAAGAGGATTGGGAGAATATCATATGGTCAGATGAAACCAAAATAGAACTTTTTGGTAAAAACTTAACTCGTCGTGTTTGGAGGACAAAGAATGCTGAGTTGCATCCAAAGAACACCATACCTACTGTGAAGCATGGGGGTGGAGACATCATGTTTGGGGCTGTTTTTCTGCAAAGGGACCAGGACGACTGATCCGTGTTAAGGAAAGAATGAATGGGGCCATGTATCGTGAGATTTTGAGTGAAAACCTCCTTCCATCAGCAAGGGCATTGAAGATGAAACGTGGCTGGGTCTTTCAGCATGACAATGATCCCAAACACACCGCCCGGGCAACGAAGGAGTGGCTTCGTAAGAAGCATTTCAAGGTCCTGGAGTGGCCTAGCCAGTCTCCAGATCTCAATCCCATAGAAAATCTTTGGAGGGAGTTGAAAGTCCATGTTGCCCAGCGACAGCCCCAAAACATCACTGCTCTAGAGGAGATCTGCATGGAGGAATGGGCCAAAATACCAGCAACAGTGTGTGAAAACCTTGTGAAGACTTACAGAAAACGTTTGACCTGTGTCATTGCCAACAAAGGGTATATAACAAAGTATTGAGAAACTTTTGTTATTGACCAAATACTTATTTTCCACCATAATTTGCAAATAAATTCATAACAAATCCTGCAATGTGATTTTCTGGATTTTTCTTTCTCATTTTGTCTGTCATAGTTGACGTGTACCTATGATGAAAATTACAGGCCTCTCTCATCTTTTTAAGTGGGAGAACTTGCACAAGTGGTGGCTGACTAAATACTTTTTTCCCCCACTGTAGTTTGTTCTTCTTTGTAGCAGAACACATATCCTTGAGCGGTTTAACAAAGAGGCTGTGTGTGTGTGAATCACAAGTCTGTCTCAGCCTACCCCCTAACGGTTCCTCACATTAATCACAGCTTGTTATGTTAAACAATCTATATCAGTACAGCACAAACCTATTATGTTTAATCATTAATGTATTCTTTCTAAGCTAAGCATCACATCTAATTATAAGAAAATAGAGCCCCACACTTGTGCTGTAGTAGTGTGACAACGTTAGCTAGCTTGTGTTGTAGTTGTGTGACAACGTTAGCTAGCTTGTGTTGTAGTTGTGTGACAACGTTAGCTAGCTTGTGTTGTAGTTGTGTGACAACGTTAGCTAGCTTGTGTTGTAGTTGTGTGACAACGTTAGCTAGCTTGTGTTGTAGTTGTGTGACACCGTTAGCTAGCTTGTGTTGTAGTTGTGTGACAACGTTAGCTAGCTTGTGTTGTAGTTGTGTGACAACGTTAGCTAGCTTGTGTTGTAGTTGTGTGACAACGTTAGCTAGCTTGTGTTGTAGTTGTGTGACAACGTTAGCTAGCTTGTGTTGTAGTTGTGTGACAACGTTAGCTAGCTTGTGTTGTAGTTGTGTGACAACGTTAGCTAGCTTGTGTTGTAGTTTGTGTGGACAACGTTAGCTAGCTTGTGTTGTAGTTGTGTGACAACGTTAGCTAGCTTGTGTTGTAGTTGTGTGACAACGTTAGCTAGCTTGTGTCGTAGTTGTGTGACAACGTTAGCTAGCTTGTGTCGTAGTAGTGTGACAACGTTAGCTAGCTTGTGTCGTAGTTGTGTGACAACGTTAGCTAGCTTGTGTTGTAGTTGTGTGACAACATTAGCTAGCTTGTGTTGTAGTTGTGTGACAACGTTAGCTAGCTTGTGTTGCAGTAGTGTGACAATTGCGACAGCGGCTGCAGCAGCTGTTATAAACGTCAAGGTGGATGTTGTGGCTAATTTGATAGCATCACCCTTTTCAAGATGAACTTTCAGACTTTGTTTACAAATTATCATCATCTGATGAGTGGCAATGTTTTTTGTATGCAGCTCGCTTGCTGTTAGCTATCTCTTCGAAATAATGACTATGAAACACTGTTGCATTTAAACTGTAGATCACCGGTTAGTGTGATGAACGTGATAAAATATATTTACAATGGGAAGTAATAGCTGGTTTGTTAATTTCATTTTGGAAATTAAATGGTTGTGCATTTGTGTTGTTCTGATTTCATGGGGCCTAATGGAGTGAATGGGATGCTTATTCTGTAACATTATTGGATGCTGTGTGCTGTCTGTCAGCTGTGTTTGACCACAACTGGCTGTCCTTCTTCGCTCTCCTTGATGTATTGGAAGATTGTTGGTCCTGCTGAAGGTCCCTCCTTCAGCGCTCTCCTTGATGTATTGGAAGATTGTTGGTCCTGCTGAAGGTCATAGGTCACGCTACTGTCATGGAGTTGTTTTCATCCTCAAACATGGGTTTTCTCTATATATAGGATTGTCAGAGAAAGTGCGAGCGTGCTAATTTGTTACGCAACCCACCATGTAAAGCAAAAAATGCCATGATTGTGCGTAAACATAACTACTAGTGTGTGTGTGTGTGTGTGTCATTCAGTTTCCTGTGGGAACCTCAAGTTATCTACATAACTGTTACCTGTGACTGTAATGGCATGTACTAAAAGCAGACATTTTCTCTCACTAACAGTGAGTGTTTATTAACCCTCTCCTCTTCTCTCCAGTGCCCCTGCCTGCGTCCGGACTAGCTGTACCTGAGAACAGGAGACCCTTCTCTTCTCTCACAAGTGCCCTGCGCGTCCGCTAGCGTACGAAACAGGACCCTCCTTTCTCCAGTGCCTCTGCGTCGACATAGCTGTACCGACAGAGACCCTCTGGCTAAACCTCCGCCAAACCCGTAGCTCCATCCCCAGTACCCCTGCCCAGCCGTAGCTCCATCCCCAGTACCCCTGACCCCAGCCGTAGCTCCATCCCCAGTACCCCTGACCCCAGCCGTAGCTCCATCCCCAGTACCCCTGACCCCAGCCGTAGCTCCATCCCCAGTACCCCTGACCCCAGCCGTAGCTCCATCCCCAGTACCCCTGACCCCAGCCGTAGCTCCATCCCCAGTACCCCTGACCCCAGCCGTAGCTCCATCCCTCAGTACCCCTGACCCCAGCCGTAGCTCCATCCCAGTACCCCTGACCCCAGCCGTAGCTCCATCCCTAGTACCCCTGACCCCAGCCGTAGCTCCATCCCTAGTACCCCTGACCCCAGCCGTAGCTCCATCCCAGTACCCCTGACCCCCAGCCGTAGCTCCATCCCTAGTACCCCTGACCCCGCCGTAGCTCCATCCCCAGTACCCCTGACCCCAGCCGTAGCTCCATCCCTAGTACCCCTAACCCCAGCCGTAGCTCCATCCCCAGTACCCCTGACCCCAGCCAGTAGCTCCATCCCCAGTACCCCTGACCCCAGCCGTAGCTCCATCCCTAGTACCCCTGACCCCAGCCGTAGCTCCATCCCTAGTACCCCTTGACCCCAGCCGTAGCTCCATCCCTAGTACCCCTGACCCCAGCCGTAGCTCCATCCCCAGTACCCCTGACCCCAGCCGTAGCTCCATCCCCAGTACCCCTGACCCCAGCCGTAGCTCCATCCCTAGTACCCCTAACCCCAGCCGTAGCTCCATCCCTAGTACCCCTAACCCCAGCCGTAGCTCCATCCCTAGTACCCCTGACCCCAGCCGTAGCTCCATCCCTAGTACCCCTAACCCCAGCCGTAGCTCCATCCCCAGTACCCCTGACCCCAGCCGTAGCTCCATCCCTAGTACCCCTAACCCCAGCCGTAGCTCCATCCCTAGTACCCCTAACCCCAGCCGTAGCTCCATCCCCAGTACCCCTGACCCAGCCGTAGCTCCATCCTAGTACCCCTAACCCCAGCCGTAGCTCCATCCCCAGTACCCCTGACCCCAGCCGTAGCTCCATCCCCAGTACCCCTAGCCCCAGCCGTAGCTCCATCCCCAGTACCCCTGACCCCAGCCGTAGCTCCATCCCTAGTACCCCTGACCCCAGCCGTAGCTCCATCCCCAGTACCCCTGACCCCAGCCGTAGCTCCATCCCCAGTACCCCTGACCCCAGCCGTAGCTCCATCCCTAGTACCCCTGACCCCAGCCGTAGCTCCATCCCCAGTACCCCTGACCCCAGCCGTAGCTCCATCCCAGTACCCCTGACCCCAGCCGTAGCTCCATCCCTAGTACCCCTACCCCAGCCGTAGCTCCATCCCCAGTACCCCTGACCCCAGCCGTAGCTCCATCCCCAGTACCCCTACCCCAGCCGTAGCTCCATCCCCAGGTCCCTGACCCCAGCGTAGCTCCATCCCTCAGTACTCCTAGCCCACATAGCTCATCCCCAGTACCCTGACCAGCTGTAGCTCCATCCTAGTCCTCCTACCAGCGTAGTCTATCCAGTCCTGCCCCAGCGTAGCTCATCCAGTAGCCCTGCCAGCGTGTCTCCATCCTAGTACCTGACCCTAGCTGTAGCTCCTCCCAGTACCTGACCCCAGCCAGTAGCATCAATCCCAGTACCCGACCATGCGTACTCCTCCTGACCTGGTACCCAGCGAGCTCATCTCCCCCCCAGCCGTAGCCCATCCCCAGTACCCCTGACCCCAGCCGTAGCTCCATCCCCAGTGGGTCCTAGACCCCCAGTCTTACCCTCAGCTCCAGCCCAAAAGAAAACCCCACTGGTCTCCTCAGAGTGTGAGCCTCCTCTTCCTCCTCGGTAAGTGTGTATGTGTGTGTGTGTGTGTGTGTGTGTGTGTGTCCTGGACTCCTGATAGACTTAGCTTGTAACTGCTCTCCGGTAGAAACATACAATACTAATAAAATAGTTTATACCACAGCATTGTTGAATACTCCTTTCTGATTGGTTAGAAGGGCATTCTAGAATGGACATTAAAACCAAATATTGGGACAGTTGGAAAAGATATCGGGACACCTTGCAATCATGACGCAATATAGATGTTTTATTGTTACATACACCGGATAGGTGCAGTGAAATGTGTTGTTTTACAGGGTCAGCCATAGTAGTACGGAGCAAATTAGGGTTAAGTGCCTTGCTCAAGGGCACATCGACAGATTTTCCACCTTGTCGGCTTGGGTATTTCAACCAGCGACCTTTCAGTTACGGGCCCATCGCTCTAACTGCTAGGTACCTGCCACCCTATAATATGCGCCTACACATGCAGACCCTACTTGCTACAAAGTTACAGAAAGCTAAACCAACAACCACACAAACCGAAATTTGACACATTGTAAACGCAGGTCCAACGAAGGAAAACGTAGCTAGCTAGCATTGATTTGTTTTCTGGAGTATCTGATGACCTAATGTGGTGAGTTAAGAACAGGAATTTCTCCGGTCCCTAAGTGGTGCCATGCTGTCAAATCCTCCCACATGACATGTCTAGTTTGACCAGCTGGTTTCAGCAACTGATGTTTTTGAATTCGGTTGTCATACAAACGATTTAGCTAGCTTCTAGCCTAGTGTTTGATATTTACATTTACATTTTAGTCATTTAGCAGACGCTCTTATCCAAAGTGACTTACAGTTAGTGCATACATTTATTTTATTTTTTATTATTAATTTTTATTTTATACTGGCCCCCCGTGGGAATCGAACCCACAACCCTGGCGTTGCAAACGCCATGCTCTACCAACTGAGCTACAACTGAGCGGTGTCCTCGTAAAGAACGGTGTTGAGCGTCCTGACGAGCAGGCACTATGCCAGGCTACATCGGGCATCATCAGCTCATTGTTATGGATGTGGCCAAATGAATGTCAATAGAAAACAGCTTAAACAAATGCAAATGCAGCTACTTTGCTGTTATTCTGGCTGCAGAGGTCGTGACTGTGTTAGCCGTAGCTAGTTGGCTAGCAAGGGATAAGAACACATAGAACAACTGGGTGGTGTCCTTAAATATAGAACTAATAGAATGAACAACTGGGTGGTGTCCTTAAATATAGAACTAATAGAATGAACAACTGGGTGGTGTCCTTAAATATAGAACTAATAGAATGAACAACTGGATGGTGTCCTTAAATATAGAACTAATAGAATGAACAACTGGGTGGTGTCCTTAAATATAGAACTAATAGAATGAACAACTGGGTGGTGTCCTTAAATATAGAACTAATAGAATGAACAACTGGGTGGTGTCCTTAAATATAGAACTAATAGAATGAACAACTGGGCCCTTAAATATAGAACTAATAGAATGAACAACTGGGTGGTGTCCTTAAATATAGAACTAATAGAATGAACAACTGGGTGGTGTCCTTAAATATAGAACTAATAGAATGAACAACTGGGTGGTGTCCTTAAATATAGAACTAAAAGAATGAACAACTGGGTGGTGTCCTTAAATATAGAACTAATAGAATGAACAACTGGGTGGTGTCCTTAAATATAGAACTAATAGAATGAACAACTGGGTGGTGTCCTTAAATATAGAACTAATAGAATGAACAACTGGGTGGTGTCCTTAAATATAGAACTAATAGAATGAACAACTGGGTGGTGTCCTTAAATATAGAACTAATAGAATGAACAACTGGGTGGTGTCCTTAAATATAGAACTAAAAGAATGAACAACTGGGTGGTGTCCTTAAATATAGAACTAATAGAATGAACAACTGGGTGGTGTCCTTAAATTTAGAACTAATAGAATGAACAACTGGGTGGTGTCCTTAAATATAGAACTAATAGAATGAACAACTGGGTGGTGTCCTTAAATATAGAACTAATAGAATGAACAACTGGGTGGTGTCCTTAAATATAGAACTAAAAGAATGAACAACTGGGTGGTGTCCTTAATATAGAACTAATAGAATGAACAACTGGGTGGTGTCCTTAAATATAGAACTAATAGAATGAACAACTGGGTGGTGTCCTTAAATATAGAACTAAAAGAATGAACAACTGGGTGGTGTCCTTAAATATAGAACTAATAGAATGAACAACTGGGTGGTGTCCTTAAATATAGAACTAATAGAATGAACAACTGGGTGGTGTCCTTAAATATAGAACTAATAGAATGAACAACTGGGTGGTGTCCTTAAATATAGAACTAATAGAATGAACAACTGGGTGGTGTCCTTAAATATAGAACTAATAGAATGAACAACTGGGTGGTGTCCTTAAATATAGAACTAATAGAATGAACAACTGGGTGGTGTCCTTAAATATAGAACTAATACAATGAACAACTGGGTGGTGTCCTTAAATATAGAACTAATAGAATGAACAACTGGGTGGTGTCCTTAAATATAGAACTAATAGAATGAACAACTGGGTCCTTAAATATAGAACTAATAGAATGAACAACTGGGTGGTGTCCTTAAATATAGAACTAAAAGAATGAACAACTGGGTGGTGTCCTTAAATATAGAACTAAAAGAATGAACAACTGGGTGGTGTCCTTAAATATAGAACTAATAGAATGAACAACTGGGTGGTGTACTTAAATATAGAACTAATGGCATGAACAACTGGGTGGTGTCCTTAAATATAGAACTAATAGAATGAACAACTGGGTGGTGTCCTTAAATATAGAACTAATAGAATGAACAACTGGGTCCTTAAATATAGAACTAATAGAATGAACAACTGGGTCCTTAAATATAGAACTAATAGAATGAACAACTGGGTGGTGTCCTTAAATATAGAACTAAAAGAATGAACAACTGGGTGGTGTCCTTAAATATAGAACTAATAGAATGAACAACTGGGTGGTGTCCTTAAATATAGAACTAATAGAATGAACAATTGGGTGGTGTCCTTAAATATAGAACTAATAGAATGAACAACTGGGTGGTGTCCTTAAATATAGAACTAATAGAATGAACAACTGGGTGGTGTCCTTAAATATAGAACTAATAAATATAAATAATATAACTAATTGAATGAACGATTAGCATCCAAAAGATGAGAAAGTATGAATTCTCTTCTAAAATGAAAAAATATCAACGGCACATTTTTATTTCTACCGGTAAATGTGTGTTTTAGTATTGTTTTATTTGGTAACTGTGGTATCAGGATAAACGCCGCCGTTCTGTACATGAACTCCTCTGTAGTCCGCTGCATCGTCCATTATTTCCAAGGTAATGTACAGAACGGCGGCGTTTATCCCTAACATAATAGCTATGAACATCTCTATTTATATATATTCCAGACCCCACACACACTCTTACCCTCTCTCTCTCTCCCTCCTCTCCTCTCCTGCACACTCTCTCTGTGTGTGTCAGACCCCAGGGACTGTTTAAGATGCTCCCTCTCCGACCCCCTCCCATAAAGACTGTTATTGGTCGACACCCACCTCTCCAGGCTGTCTCCACCTCCTCTACCACATCATCCAATCAGCCACCCCCTCCCCAGGCTGTAGCCACCCCCTCTACCACATCAGCCAATCAGCCGCAGGGTCAGAGGGCACCAAAGAAAGGCCCCCCTCTACCCCTCCGACCCAAGCCTGGACACCCCCTGTACAAGAGTTACATGGTAAACACAAACATCTACTTTGGCTATACACTGGCTTTACTATATACAGTGCATTCGGAAAGTATTCAGACCCCTTGACTTTTTCCACATTTTGTTACGTTGCAGCCTTATTCTAACATGGATGAAATGGTTTTTTTCCCTCGTCAGTCTACACACAATACCCCAAAAATGACAAAGCAAAAACAGGTTTTTAGAAATTCTAGCAAATTTTTTACAAATAAAAAACGGAAATATCACATTTACATAAGTATTCAGACCCTTTACTCAGTACTTTGTTAAAGCATCTTTATCAGCGATTAGAGCCCCGAGTCTTCTTGGGTATGACGCTACAAGCTTGGCACACCTGAATTTGGGGAGTTTCTCCCATTCTTCTCTGCAGATCCTCTCAAGCTCTGTCAGGTTGGATGGGGAGCGTCGCTGCACAGCTATTTTCAGGTCTCTCCAGAGATGTTAGATTGGGTTCAAGTCCATGCTCTGGCTGGGCCACTCAAGGACATTCAGAGACTTGTCCCGCAGCCACTCCTATGTTGTCTTGGCTGTGTGCTTAGGGTCGTTGTCCTGTTGGAAGGTGAACCTTCTCCCCAGGTCCTGAGCGCTCTGGAGCAGGTTTTCATCAAGGATCTCTCTAAACTTTGCTCCGTTCATCTTTCCCTCGAGCCTGACTAGTCTCCCAGTCCCTGCCGCTGAAAAACATCCCCACAGTGTGATGCTGCCACCACCGTGCTTCACCGTAGGGATGGTGCCAGGTTTCCTCCAGACGTGACGCTTGGCAATCAGGCCAAAGAGTTCAATCTTGGTTTCATCAGACCAGAGAATCTTGTTTCTCATGGTCTGAGACTCCTTTAGGTGCCTTTTGGCAAACTCCAAGCGGGCTGTCATGTGCATTTTACTGAGGAGTGGCTTCCGTCTGGCCACTCTACCATAAAGGCCTGATTGGTGGAGTGCTGCAGAGATGGTTGTCCTTCTGGAAAGTTCTCCCATCTCCACAGAGGAACTCTGGAGCTCTGTCAGAGTGACCATCAGGTTCTTGGTCACCTCCCTGACCAAGGCCCTTCTCTCCCGATTGCTCAGTTTGGCCGGGCGGCCAGCTCTAGGAAGAGTCTTGGTGGTTCCAAACTTCTTCCATTTAAGAATGATGGAGGCCACTGTGTTCTTGGGGACCTTCAATGCTGCAGACATTTTTTTGTACCCTTCCCCAGATCTGTGCCTCGACACAATACTGTCTCGGAGCTCTACAGACAATTCCTTCGACCTTATGGCTTGGTTTTTCTGTCAACTGTGGGACCTTATAAAGAAAGGTGTGTGCCTTTCCAAATAATGTCAAATCAATGGTATTTACCACAGGTGGACTCCAAGTTGTAGAAACATCTCAAGGATGATCAATGGAAACAGGGTGCACCTGGGCTCAATTTGAGTCTCATAGCAAAGGGTCTGAATACTTATCTAAATAAGGTGTTTCTGTTTTTTATTTTTAAAACATTAGCAAAAATGTCTAAAAACCTGTTTCGCTTTGTCATTATGGGGTATTGATAAGGATTTTTATTTATTTAATCCATTTTCAAAGTACAAAGTACAGAGAGATCCTTGATGAAAACCTGCTCCAGAGCACTCAGGACCTCAGACTGGGGTGAAGGTTCACCTTCCAACAGGACAACGACCCTAAGCACACAGCCAAGACAACGCAGGAGTGGCTTCGGGACAAGTCTCTGAATGTCCTTGAGTGGCCCAGCCAGAGCCCGGACTTGACCCAGATCGAACATCTCTGTAGAGACCTGAAAATAGCTGTGCAGCGACGCTCCCCATCCAACCTAACAGAGCTTGAGAGGATCTGCAGAGAAGAATGGGAGAAACTCCCCAAATACAGGTGTGCCAAGCTTGTAGCATCATATCCAAGAAGACTTGATTCTGTAATCGCTGCCAAAGGTGCTTCAACAAAGTACTGAGTAAAGGGTCTGAATACTTATGTAAATGTGATATTTCAGTTTTTATTTGTAATACATTTGAGAAGTAAAATCGAAAAACCTGTTTTTGTTTTGTCATTATGGGGTATTGTGTGTAGATTGATGAGGGGAAAAAAACAACTTAATCCATTTTAGAATAAGGCTGCAACGTAACAAAATGTGGAAAAAGTCAAGGGGTCTGAATACTAAAGTAATAATATACTACTACTATTCCCAATGCACTGTGTGTATATGTCTGAACTGTTGAGCATTTGGAGGATGGATTTGGGAGAGGGGAGGATGGTAGGTAATGAGGCTTTAACATTAGTATTGAGGATGGTTGGTAATGGGGCTTTAACATTAGTGTTGAGAGGAGAGAGATGGTAGGTATGGGGCTTTAACATTAGTTGTTGAGAGGAGAGAGGATGGTAGGTATGGGCTTTAACATTAGTGTTGAGAGGAGAGAGGATGGTAGGTAATGGGGTTTTAACATTAGTGTTGAGAGGAGAGAGGATGGTAGGTAATGGGGCTTTAACATTGTGTTGAGAGGATGGTAGGTAATGGGGCTTTAACATTAGTGTTGAGAGGAGAGAGGATGGTAGGTAATGGGGCTTTAACATTAGTGTTGAGAGGATGGTAGGTAATGGGGCTTTAACATTAGTGTTGAGAGGAGAGAGGATGGTAGGTAATGGGGCTTTAACATTAGTGTTGAGAGGAGAGAGGATGGTAGGTAATGGGGCTTTAACATTAGTGTTGAGAGGAGAGAGGATGGTAGGTAATGGGGCTTTAACATTAGTGTTGAGAGGGGAGAGGATGGTAGGGGAATGGGGAGGGGCTTTAACATTAGTGTTTGAGAGGAGAGAGGATGGTAGGTTAATGGGGCTGTAAAATTTAGTGGGTGAGAGGAGAGGGAGAGAGGATGGTAGGTAATGGGGCTTTAACATTAGGTTGAGAGAGAGAGGATGGTAGGTAATGGGGCTGGACATTAGTGTTGAGAGGAGAGGGATGGTAGGTAAAGGGGGCTTTAACATTAGTGTTGAGAGGAGAGAGGATGGTAGGTAATTGGGCTTTAACATTAGTGTTGAGAGGATGGAGGATCGATGGTTAGGTAATGGGCTTTAACATTAGTGTTGAGAGGGGGGGAGGAGGATGGTGAGGATGGAGGATAATGGGGCTTTAACATTAGTGTTGAGAGGGGGAGGATGGTAGGTCATGGGGCTTTAAAATTAGTGTTGAGAGGAGGAGAGGGAGAGGATGGTAGGTAATGGGGCTTTTTAAATTAGTGTTGAGAGGAGAGAGGATGAGTAGGTAAGGGGCTTAACATTAGTTGTTGAGAGGAGAGAGGATGGTTAGGTACTGGGCTTTAACATTGTGTAGAGGAGAGAGGATGGGGAGGTAATTGGGGCTCTTTAACATTATGTTGAGAGGAGAGAGGATGGTAGGTAATGGGCTTTAAACATTAGTGTGAGAGGATGGTAGGTAATGGGGTTTTAACATAGTGTTGAGAGGATGGGAGGGTAATGGGGCTTTAACATGAGTGTTGAGAGGATGGTAGGTAATGGGATGAAAATTAGTGTGAGAGGGGAGGATGGACGGTAAATGGGCTTAACATCGTGGTTGAGAGGAGAGAGGATGGTTATGTAAGGGGGCTTTAACATTAGCTGTTGGAGGAGATGAGGGAGGTAGGTAATGGGGCTTTGGCTTTCTTTAACATGGTTGAGAGGATGGTGGTTCATGGGGCTTAACATTAGTGTTGAGAGGAGAGAGAGATGGTAGGTAATGGGGCTTTTTAACATTAGTGTGGAGAGGGAAGAAGCGAGGATGGTAGGTAATGGGGCTTTAACATGTGTTGAGAGGAGAGAGGATGGTAGGTACTGGGGCGTTAACATTGTGTTGAGAGGAGAGAGGTGGTAGGTAATGGGTTTTTAACATTCGTGTTGCGAGGATGGTAGGTAGGGGTTTAACATTAGGGTGAGAGGAGAGAGATGGTAGATAGGTAATGGGGCTTTAACTTAGTGTTGAGAGGAGAGAGGATGAGTAGGTAATGGGGCTTTACATTAGTGTTGAGAGGAGCGGAGGCTGGTAGGTAATGGGGCTTTAACATGAGTATATTGAGGAGGTGGTAGGTAAGGGGTTTTAACCATTAGTGTTGAGCGGAGAGAGGATGGTAGGTAAGGGGCTTTAACATTAGTGTGAGAGGAGAGAGGATGGTAGTTAATGGGGCTTTAACTAACATTAGTGTTGAGAGGAGAGAGGATGGTAGGTAATGGGGCTACATTAGTGTGGAGAGGAGAGAGGATGGTAGTAATGGGGTTTTAACATTCTGTGGAGAGGCGAGAGGATGGTAGGTAATGGGATTTACATTAGTGTTGAGAGGATGGTAGGTAATGGGGCTTTCACATTAGTGTTGAGGAGGATGGTAGGTAATGGGGTTTTTAACATAGTGTTGAAGAGGAGAAGCGGATGGAGGTAATGGGTTCTTTAACTTAGGTTGAGAGGAGAGAGGATGGTAGGTAATGGGGCTTTAACATAGTGTTGAGCGGAGAGGAGGATGGTAGGTAATGGGGCCTTTAACATTAGTGTTGAGAGAGAGGAGGATGGTAGGTAATGGGGTTTTAACATGAGTGTTGAGAGGAGAGAGGGGTAGGTAATGGGGCTTACATAGTGTTGAGACGGATGAGAGATGGTAGGTAATGGGCTTTAACATTAGGGTGAGAGGAGATTGAGGATGTAGTTAATGGGGCTTTAACCGTAGGGTTGAGGGAGAGAGGATGTTAGGTAATGGGGCTTTAACATAGTGCTGAGAGATGGTAGGGTAATGGGGCTTTAACTTAGGGTTGAGAGGGGGAGGAGGTAGGTTAAATGGGGCTTTAACATTGTGTTGAGAGGAGAGGGATTGGTAGGTAATGGGGGGCTGCTTTAACATTAGTGTTGAGAGGGATCGGAGAGAGGATGGAGGTAATGGGCTTTAAACATTAGTGTCGAGAGGCGAGAGGATGGTAGGTAATGGGGTTTTCAATTAGTGTGAGAGGAGAGAGGGATGGTAGGTAATGGGGCTTTAACAGTAGTGTTGCGAGGAGAGCGGATGGTAGGGAATGGGGGTTTAAAAAATTAGTGTTGAGAGGAGAAGAGGATGGTAGGTAATGGGGTTTTACCATTAGTGTGAGAGGGAGAGAGGATGGAGGTATGGGGCTTTAACATCTAGTGTATGAGAGGACGATGGTAGGAATGGGGCTTTAATATTAGTGTTGAGAGGATGGTATGTAAAGGGGCTTTAACATGAGTATTGAGAGTATGGTATGTAACGCGGCTTTAAAATTAGGTTGAGGAGGATGGTAGGTTAATGGGGCTTTCTTTAAATTAGTGTGAGAGGAGAGAGGATGGGATGGTAATGGGGGCTTAACATTAGTGTTGAGAGGAGGGGAGGATGGTAGAGTAATGGGTTTAACATAGTGTTGAGAGGAGAGAGGAGGATGGTAGGTGGTATGGGGCTTTAACATAGTATTGGGAGGATGTAGGAAATGGGGTGGCTTTAAACATTAGTGTTGAGAGGAGAGAGGATGGTAGGTAATGGGGCTTTAACATAGTGTGAGAGGATGGTAGGTAAGGGGCTTTAACATTAGTGGTGAGAGGGAGGAGGATGGTAGGTAAATGGGGTTTTAACATTAAGTGTTGAGAGGAGGAGAGGATGGTAGGTAATTGGGGCTTTAACCATTAGTGTTGAGAGGAGAGAGGATGGTAGGGAATGGGGCTTTAACATTAGTGTTGAGAAGGATGGTAGAGTAATGGGGTTTTAAAAATTAGTTGTGAGAGGAGAGACGGATGGTAGTAATGGGGCTTTAACATGTGGTGAGAGGGGAGAGCTGGTAGGTTAATGGGATTTAACATTCGTTTTGAGAGGAGAGAGGATGGTAGGTAATGGGGGCTTTAACATTAGTGTGAGAGGGGAGAGGATGGTAGGGAATGGGGCTTTAAACATTAGTGTTGAGAGGAGAGAGTGATGGTAGGTAATGGGCTTGTTAACATTAGTGTTGAGAGGAGAGAGGATGGAGGTAATGGGGACTTTAAATTAGTTAGTGAGGAGGATGGTAGGTAATGGGGCTGGCTTTACATTAGTGTTGAGAGGAGAGCAGAATGGTAGGTATGGGGTTTTTAACATTAGTGTTGAGGAGGAGAGAGGGATGGTATAGGTAATGGGCTTTAACATTAGTGTGGAGGATGGAGGTAATGGGCTTAAACATTAGTGTTGAGAGGATGGTAGGTACTGGGGTTTTAACATTAGTGTGAGAGGAGAGAGGATGGAGGTAATGGGTTTACATTAGTGGTTGAGAGGAGAGAGGATGGTAGGTAGGTAATGGGGATTGCACATTAGTGTGAAGGAGAGAGGATGGTAGGTTTAATGGGGCTTCTAACAGTAGTGGTGAGAGAAGAGGGGATGGTAGGTAATGGGGCTTTAACACTTAGATGTTGAGAGGAGAGGGATGGTAAGGTAATGGGGCTTAACATTAGTGTTGAGAGCGAGAGAGGATGGTAGTAATGGGGCTTTAACATTTAGTGTTGAGAGGATGAGAGGATGGTAGGTAAATGGGGCTTTGGGCTTTTAACCGTAGTTTGAGGGAGATAGGATGGAGTAGGTAATGGGGCTTTAACATTAGTGTTTGAGAGGATGGTAGGTAATGGAGCTTTAAACATAGTGTTTAGAGGATGGTAGGTAATGAGGCTGTCACATTAGTGTGAGAGGGGTAGGAATGGGGCCTTTAAACATAGTGTTTAGAGGATGGTAGGTATGAGGCTTGAAATAGTGTTGAGAGGAGGGTAGGTAATGGGGTTGTTAAACATTAGTGTTGAGAGGAGAGAGGAGGATGGTAGGTGGTACATGGGTTTTAACATTAGTTTTGAGAGGAGAGAGGGGATGGTAGGTAATGGGCTTTAACATTAGTTTTGAGAGAGAGAGGAATGGAGTTAGCGTAATGGGGCTTTAACATTTAGTGTGGAGGAGGATGGTAGGTAATGGGGCTTTAACATGTGTTGAGAGGGAGAGAGGATGGTAGGTAATGGGGTTTTAACTTAGTGTTGAGGGAGAGCGGATGGTAGTAATGGGGCTTTAACATTAGTGTTGAGAGGAGAGAGGAGGGTAGGTAATGGGCGGTTTTTAAACAATTAGTGGTTGAGAGGGAGAGAGGATGGTAGGTAATGGGGCTTTAAATTAGTTTTGAGAGGAGAGGGGGATGGTTAGGATGGGCTTTAACATTAGTGTGGAGAGGAATGTAGGTAATGGGGCTTTAACAGTAGTGTTGAGAGGAGGTAGGTTAATGGGGCTTTAACATAGTGTTGAGAGGATGTAGGTAATGGGCTTTAACATTAGTGTGAGAGGATGGTAGGTAATGGGCGTTAACATTTAGTGTTGAGAGGAGGAGGTAATGGGGGTTTTAACATTAGTGTTGAGAGGAGAGGAGGGATGGTAGGTAATGGGGCTTAACATTAGTGTTAGAGGAGAGGGATGGTAGGTAATGGGGCTTTAACATTAGTGTGAGAGGAGAGAGGATGGTAGTATGGGCTTTAAATTGTGTTGAAGAGGAGAGAGGATGGTAGGTAATGGGGGCTTTAACATTAGTGTGGAGAGGAGCCGAGGATGGTAGGTAATGGGGCTTTAACATTAGTGTTGAGAGGAGACTTAGGTGGTAGGTAATGGGGCTTACATTAGTGTTGAGAGGATGCGTAGGTAAGGGGCTTTAACATTAGTGTTGAGAGGATGGTAGGTAATGAGGCATTTAACATAGTGTGAGAGGATGGGAGGTAATGGGCTTAACATTCGTGTTTAGGAGGATGGTAGGAATGAGGCTTTAAACATTAGTGTTGAGAGGATGGTAGATAGGAATGGGGTTTGAACATTAGTGTTGAGAGGAGAGAGGATGGTAGGTAATGGGGGCTGAACATTAGGGGTGAGAGGAGAGAGAGGAATGGTCAGGGTAATGGGGCTTAAATTAGTGTTGCAGAGGAGAGAGGAGGGTAGGTAAGGGGCTTCTGCTTTAACATTAGTGTTGAGAGGAGAGAGGGTAGGGTAGGGAATGGGGCTTTAACATTAGTAGTGTTGAGAGGAGGGAGAGGATGGTAGGTAATGGGGCTTTTAACATAGTGTTGAGAGGATGGTAGGTAATGGGGCTTACATTAGTGTTGAGAGGAGGATGTAGGTCTGGGCTTTAAACATAGTGTTGAGAGGAGAGAGGATGGTAGGGAATGGGGTTTTAACATTAGTGTTGAGAGGAGAGAGGGATGGTTAGGTAATGGGGCTTTAACATGAGTTTTGAGAGGAGAGAGGATGGTAGGTAGTGGGGCTGCTTTAACATTAGTGTTGAGAGGATGGTAGGAAGGGGCTTTAACATTAGTGTTGAGAGGATGGTAGGGTAATGGGGCTTGAACATTATTGTTGAGAGGATGGTAGGTAATGGGCTTAACATTAAGTGTGTTGGAGGAGGTAGGTAATGGGCTGTAACATTAGTGTTGAGAGGAGGTAGGTAATGGGGCTGTACCATTAGTGTTGAGAGGAAGAAGGATGGTAGGTAAATGGGGTTTTAACATTAGTGTGAGAGGAGAGCGGATGGTAGGTAATGGGGTTTAACATTAGTGTTGAGAGGAAGAGAACGAGGAGGAGGTAATGGGGCTTTAACATAGTGTTGAGAGGCCGAGAGGATGGTAGGTAATGGGGCTTTAACATTATGTGTTGGAGGAGAGAGGATGGTAGGGAATGGGGCTTTAAACAGTAGTGTTGAGAGGACGAGGATGGTAGGTAATGGGGTTTTAAACATTAGTGTTGAAGGAGGGAGGGATGGTAGGTAATGGTGTTTAACCTTAGGTGAGAGGAGAGAGGATGGTAGGTAATGGGGCTGTAACATTAGTGTGGAGAGGATGGTAGGTAATGGGGTTTTATACATTAGTTTGAGAGCGGGAGGATGGTAGGTAATGGGTTTTAACATTAGTGTGAGAGGAGAGAGGATGTAGTAAGGGGCTGTAACATGAGTGTTGAGAGGAGAGAGGATGGTAGGTAATGGGGTTAACATATAGGGTGAGAGGATGGTAGGTAATGGGGCTTTAACATTAGTGTGAGAGGAGAGAGGGATGTAGGTAATGGGTTTTAACATTAGTGTTGAGAGGAGATGGTATGTACTGGGGCTTTAACATTAGGGTTGAGAGGAGAGAGGATGGAGGTAATGGGGCTTTAAACATTAGTGTTGGAGGAGAGAGGATGGTAGGTAATGGGGCTTAACATTAGTGTGAGAGGAGATGAGGATGGTAGCGCTACATGGGGTTTTTAATAGTGTGGGAGGATGGGAGGTAAGGGGCTTTCTTTAACATTAGTGTTGAGAGGCGAGAGGATGGTAGGTAATGGGGCTTAACATTAGTGTTGAGAGGATGGTAGGTAATGGGGCTTTAACATTAGTGTTGAGGAGAGAGGAGGTAGGTAATGGCGGGCTTTAAACATTAGTGTTGAGAGGATGTAGGTAATGGGGCTTTAACAGTAGTGTTGAGAGGAGAGAGGCTGGTAGGTACTGGGGCTTACATTAGTGTTGAGAGGCTGAGGGATGGATGCGTAGGTAATGGGGCTTAACATTAGTGTGAGAGGAGAGAGGAGGGTAGGTAATGGGGCTTAACATTAGTGTTGAGAGGAGAGAGGATGGTAGGGGGTAATGGGGCTTTAACATTCGTGTTGAGGAGGATGGTAGTAATGGGGCTTTCATATTAGTGTGAGAGGAGAGAGGATGGTAGGTATGGGGCTTTTAACGTTAGGTTGAGAGGAGAGAGGTGGTAGGTAAGGGGCTTTTAACATTAGTGTTGAGAGGAGTGGAGGTAATGGGGCTTTAACATTAGTGTTGGAGGAGAGAGGATGGTATGTAAGGGGCTTTAACCATTAGTGTTGAGAGGATGAGAGGATGGTATGTAATGGGGCTTTAACATTAGTGTGAGAGGATGTAGGTAATGGGGCTTTTAAACATTAGTGTTGAGAGGATGGGAGGTAATGGGGCTTTAAACATTGTGTTGAGAGGAGAGAGGATGGTAGGTAATGGGTTTGAACAATTAGTGTTGAGAGGGTGGTAGGTAATGGGGCTTAACAGTAGTGTTGAGAGGAGGAGAGAGGATGGTAGGGAATGGGGCAATAACAGTTAGTGTGAGAGGAGAGAGGATGGTAGGTAATGGGGTTTAAAATTAGTGTGAGAGGAGAGAGGATTGGTAGGTAATGGGGTTTTAAAATTAGTGTTGAGAGGATGGTAGGAATGGGCTTTAACAGTAGTGTTGAGATGGAGAGAGGATGGTACGGTATGGGGCTTTAAAATTAGTTGTTGAGAGGATGGTAGGTAATGGGGCTGTAACATGAGTGTTGAGAGGAGAGAGGATGGTAGGTAAGGTGGGTAATGGGGTTTTAATAACATTAGTGTTGAGGGGAATGAGAGGATGGTAGTAAAAGGGGGTTTACCATTTTTTTAGTTGTTTGAGAGGAGAGAGGATGGTAGGTAATTGGGCTTTAACTTTAGTGGTTGAGAGGAGAGAGGATGGTAGGGAAGGGGCTTTAACATTGTGTGAGCGGAGAGAGGATGGGAGGGAATGGGGCTTTAACAGTAGTGTTGAGAGGAGAGAGGAGGGTAGGGTAATGGGGCTGTAACCTTAGTATTGAGAGGATGGAGGTAATGGGGCTTTAACATTAGTGTTGAGAGGAGAGAGGATGCGTGGTAATGGGTTTTTAAACATTAGTGTTGGAGGAGAGAGGATGGTAGGTAATGGGGCTGTAACATTAGTGTTGAGAGGTGGTATGTAATGGGGTACTTTAACTTATTGTTGAGGGATGGTAGGTACTGGGGCTTTAACATTAGGTGAGAGGATGGTAGGTAATGGGGACTTTGTTCTTTAACATTAGTGTTGAGAGGATGGTAGGTAATGGGGCTTTAAACATTAGTGTGAGAGGAGAGGAGTGATGGTAGGTAATGGGGTTTAAACATTAGTGTTTGAGAGGAGAGAGGATGGTAGCGATAAGGGGGTTTTAACATAGTGTTGAGAGGAAGGAAAGAGGATGGTAGGTAATGGGGCTTTAACATTAGTGTTGATGAAGGAGAGAGGAGGTAGGTAATGGGCTAACATAGTGTTGATGAGGAGAGGGATGGTAAGGTAATGGGGCTTTTAACATTTAGTGTTGAGAGGAGAGAGGATGGTAGGTATGGGGTTGTAAATTAGTGTTGAGAGGAGGGAGGATGGTAGGTAATGGGGCTTTAACCTTAGTGTGAGAGGAGAGAGCGATGGTAGTAATGGGCTTTTTAACATTAGTGTGGAGAGGATGGTAGGTAATGGGTTTTAACATTGTGTTGAGAGGAGGAGGATGGAGGTAATGGGTTTTGGTTTTACATTAGTGCTGAGAGGAGAGAGGATGGTACGGTAATGGGGGCTTTAAGCTTTAACATTAGTGTTGAGAGGAGAGAGGATGGATAGGTAATGGGGTTTGTAACATAGGTGTTGAGAGGATGGTTAGGTAATGGGGCTTAAATTAGGTTGCGAGGAGAGAGGATGGTTTAGGTTTATGGGTTTAACATTAGGTTGAGAGGGATGTTATGTAATGGGCTTTAACATTAGTGTATGAGAGGAGAGAGGATGGTAGGGAAGGGTTTTAACATTAGTGTTGAGAGGATGGTAGGTAATGGGGCCTTAACATTAGTGTTGAGAGGAGAGAGGATGGTAGGTAATGGGCTTCTTTACCATAGTGTGTGAGGGATGGTAGGTAATGGGGCTTTAACTAGTGTGAGAGGAGAGAGGATGGTAGGTTAATGGGGCTTTAACATTTAGGTTGAGAGAGGATGGTGGTAAGGGGCTTTAACATTAGTGTTGAGAGGAGAGAGGCTGGTAGGTAATGGGGCTTTAAATTAGTGTTGAGAGGAGAGAGGATGGTAGGTAATGGGGCTTAACAGTAGTTGTTGAGAGGAGAGAGAGGTAGGTAATGGGGCTTAACATAGGGTTGAGAGGAAGACGGATGGTAGGTGTAATGGGGCTTTAAACATTAGTGTTTGATGAGGATGGTAGGTAATGGGGCTTTAATATTAGTGTTGAGAGGGATGAGGATGGTAGGTAATGGGGCTTTAACATAGTGTGAGAGGAGAGCGGATGGTAGAATGGGGCTTTAACATCGTGTTGAGAGGATGTAGGTAATGGGGCTGAACAGTAGGTTGAGAGGAGGAGAGGATGGTATGTAATGGGCTTTAACCGTAGTGTTGAGAGGAGAGAGGATGTATGTAATGGGGCTTTAACATTAGTGTTGAGAGGATGGTAGGTAATGGGGCTTTAACATTAGGTTGAGAGGGATGGTAGGTAAATGGGGCTTAACATTAGGGTTGAGAGGGAGAGAGGATGTAGGTAATGGGGTTTTAAAATTAGTGTTGAGTGGATGTAGGTAATGGGGCTTTAACATTAGTGTGGAGAGGAAGAGAGGATGGTAGGTAATGGGGCTTTAACATTCGTGTTGAGAGGAGAGAGGAGGGTAGGTAATGGGGTTTTAAATTAGTGTTGAGCGGAGAGGAGGAGAGCGGATGGTAGTTAATGGGGTTTTAACCTAGTGTTGAGCGGATGCGTAGGTAAGGGGACGTTAAATAGTGTTGAGAGAGAGAGGATGGTAGGTTAATGGGGGCTTTTTACATTGTGTGAGAGGGATGGTAGGTAATGGGGCTTTTAACATTAGTGTTGAGAGGAGAGAGGATGAGAGGTAATGGGGTTTTAACATTAGGGTTGAGAGGATGGTAGGTTAATGGGGCTTTAAAGTCGTGTTGAGGGAGATGAGGATGGTAGGTAATGGGCTTTAAAATTAGTGTTGAGAGGAGAGAGGATGGTAGGTAATGGGGCTTTAACATTAGTTGTTGAGAGGGAGAGGATTGTAGTAATGGGGCTCTTGTTAAACATTAGTGTTGAGAGGAGAGAGGATGGTAGGTAATGGGGGCTTTAACATTAGTATTGAGAGGATGGTAGGTAATGGGGCTGTAAAATAGTGTGAGAGGTGGTAGGTAAGGGTTTTTAACATTAGTGTGAAGGAGAGAGGCGGTAGGTTAATGGGGCTTTAAACATAGTGTTGAGAGGATGGAGGTACAGGGGGCTTTAAACATATTGTGGAGGATGGTAGGTAATGGGGCTTTAACATTAGGGTTGAGAGGTGGATGGTAGTAATGGGGCTTTAACATTCGTGTTGAGAGGATGGTAGGTAATGGGGCTTTAACATTAGTGTGAGAGGAGAGAGGCATGGTAGGTAATGGGTTTTAAGCATTAGTGGTGAGAGGAGCGAGGATGGTAGGTGAATGGGGTTTTAACATTAGGTTGAGAGGAAAGAGGATGGTAGGTAATGGGGCTTTAACATTAGTGTTTGAGCGGATTGAGAGATGGTAGGTAGATGGGGCTTTAACATGAGTGTTGAGAGGAGGGAGGATGGTAGGTAATGGGGCTTTAACCTTAGGTTGAGAGGAAGGGAGAGAAGGATGGTAGGTAATGGGGCTTTAACATTAGTATGTTGAGAGGATGGTAGGTAATGGGGTTTGGTTTAACATTAGTGTGAGAGGAGGGAGGATGGTAGGGGTAATGGGGTTTTAACATTTTTTGGTGGTGAGAGGAGAGCGGATGGTAGGTAATGGGGCTTTACCACATGAGGTTGAGAGGAGGAGAGGATGGTAGGTCAATGGGGTTTTTTAACATTAGTGTTGAGAGGATGGTAGGTAATGGGGCTTTTTAACCGTAGTGTTGCGAGGAGAGAGGATGGTAGTAATGGGGTTTTACACATAGTGTGAGAGATGGGATGTAATGAGGGCTTTAACATTTAGTGTTGAAGGGAGGAGAGGATGGTAGTAACTCGGGGCACTTAACATTAGGTTGAGGGAGGAGAGGAGAGAGGATGGTAGGTTAATGGGGCTGTAACATTAGTGTTGAGAGGAGAGAGGATGGTAGGTTAAGGGGGGTTGTTAACATTAGTGTTGAGAGGGCTGGTAGGTAATGGGGCTTCACATTAGTGTTGAGGGAGAGAGGATGGTAGGTAATGGGGCTCTTTAACATTAGTGTTGAGGAGGATGGTCAGGTAATTGGGGCTTAACATAGTGTGAGAGGAGAGAGGGATGGTAGGTATGGGGCTCTTTAACATTAGTGTTGAGAGAATGGTAGGTAATGGGGCTTTTTTAACATTAGTGTGAGGGACGAGAGGATGGTAGGTAATGGGGCCTTTTTAACATTAGTGTTGAGAGGAGAGAGGATGGTAGGGAATGGGGCTTTAACATTTAGTGTGAGAGGAAGAGGAGGATGGTAGGTTAAGGGGCTTTAACATTAGTGTTGAGAGGAGAGAGGATGGTAGGTAATGGGGCTTCTAAAATTAGTGTTGGAGGATGGTACGGTAATGGCGGCTTTAATATTAGTGTTGAGAGGAGAGGGATGGTAGGTAATGGGGCTTTAACATTAGTGTTGAGAGGAGAGAGGATGGTAGGGTAATGGGCTTAACATTAGTGTTGAGAGGATGGGTATGGTAATGGGCTTTAACATAGTGTGAGAGGAGAGGGGGAGAGAGGATGGTATTGTAATGGGGCTTTAACATTAGTGTTGAGAGGAGAGAGGATGGTATGTAATGGGGCTTAACATTAGGTGGAGAGTGAGGATGGTAGGTAATGGGGGGGCGTTAACATTAGTGTTGAGCGGATGGTAGGTAATGGGGCTTTAACATTAGTGTGAGCGGAGGAGAGGATGGTAGGTAATGGGGTTTGAACATTATGTTGAGGAGGATGGGAGGTAATGGGCTGTACACATTAGTGTTGAGAGAGAGAGGATGGTAGGTAATGGGGCTTAACATTCGTGTTGAGAGGAGAGAGGATGGTAGGTAAGGGGGTTTTAACATTAGTGTTGAGAGGAGGAGGATGGTAGGTAATGGGGGTTTTTTGGTTTAAACATTAGTGTTGAGAGGATGGTAGGTACGGGGCTTTAACATTAGTGTTGAGAGGAGAGAGGCTGGTAGGTAATGGGGCTTTTTAACATAGGTTGAGGAGGATGGTAGGTAATGGGGCTCTCTTAACATGTTTTTTTGAAAATAAAAAGGGGGGGGGAGGAGAGAGGATGGTAGGTAATGGGTTTAACATTAGTGTGATGAGGAAGAGGATGGTAGGTAAGGGGGCTTTTTTAACATTAGTGTTGAGAGGAGAGAGGATGGTAGGTAATGGGGCTTTGAATTGTGTTGAAGGAGAGAGGAGATGGTAGGTAATGGGCTTAAAACATTAGTGTTGAGAGGAGAGAGGATGGTAGGTAAGGGGCTTTTAACATTAGGTTGAGAGGAGAGAGGTGGTAGGTAATGGGGCTTAACATGTATTGAGAGGATGGTATGTAATGGGGCTTTAACAGTAGTTGTTGAGAGGAGAGAGGATGGTGAGGTTAGGTTAGTGGGTTTTAACATTAGTGTTGAGAGGAGAAGAGGATGGTAGGTAAGGGGCTTTAACAGTTAGTGTTGAGAGGATGGTAGGTAAGGGTTTTTAACATAGTGTGAGAGGATGTAGGTATGGGGCTTTAACATTAGTGGTGAGAGGAAGAGGGATGGTAGGTTAATGGGCTGTAACATTAGTGTTGTGTGAGAGGAGAGAGGATGGTAGGTAATGGGGCTAACATTAGTGTTGAGAGGATGTATGGTAATGGAAGGTTTTAACATAGTGTTGAGGAGGATGGTAGGTGGTAATGGGTCTGTAATTAGTAGAGAGGATGGTAGGTAATGGGGCGTTGTAATCTTAGTGTTGTTGAGAGGAGGTAGGTAATGGGCGCTTTAAAATAGTGTTGAAGGAGAGCGGATGGTAGGTAATGGGGGTTTTAACATAGTGTGAGAGGATGGAGGTTAAATGGGGCTTGGCTTTAAACATTCGTGTTGAGCGGAGAGAGGATGGTAGGTTAAGGGGGTTTGAACATTAGTGTGAGAGGATGCGAGGATGGTAGGTAATGGGGCTTAACATTAGTGTTGAGAGGGATGAGATTTGGTAGGTAATGGGGCTTTAACATTACAGTGTTGAGAAGAGAGGAGAGAGGAGGGTAGGTAATGGGGTTTTAACCTCGTGTTGAGAGGGAGAGAGGATGGTAGGTAATGGGGCTTAATATTAGTGTTGAGAGGAGAGAGGGATGGTAGGTAATGGGGTTTTAATATTAGTGTTTGAGAGAGAGAGGTGTAGGTAATAATGGGGCTTTAATATTAGTGTGAGAGGAGAGAGGATGGTAGGTAATGGGGCTTTAACATTAGTGTTGAGAGGAGAGAGGATGGTAGGTAATGGGGCTTTAACATTAGTGTTGAGAGGATGGTAGGTAATGGGGCTTTAACATTAGTGTTGAGAGGGATGGTAGGTAATGGGGCTTTAACATTAGTGTTGAGAGGAGAGAGGATGGTAGGTAATGGGGCTTTAACATTAGTGTTGAGAGGATGGTAGGTAATGGGGCTTTAACATTAGTGTTGAGAGGAGAGAGGATGGTAGGTAATGGGGCTTTAACATTAGTGTTGAGAGGATGGTAGCAAAGGTATCTATAATAGATTTTCAGCTGTGTGCGTGTGTGCAGGTATAATCAGTGTTAGCATGTTAGCATGTCTGAAGGGTCTGGGTAGGTATAATCAGTGTTAGCATGTTAGCATGTCTGAAGGGTCTGGGTAGGTATAATCAGTGTTAGCATGTTAGCATGTCTGAAGGGTCTGGGTAGGTATAAGCAGTGTTAGCATGTTAGCATGTCTGAAGGGTCTGGGTAGGTATAATCAGTGGTAGCATGTCTGAAGGGTCGGGGATCCCGCCTCTGAGGACAACAGCCAATCGAAGCCTCCCTCTGATAACAACAGCCAATCAGAATCCATATCTGATGACAAGATCCAATCATAACCTCCGTTAATGCCTCACAGCCTTGTGTAGTCTTTAGCAGCACACTGGTTGTCTTTTCCTATGTTTCATCTTTCTGTTGTTTTTTTCCATCTGTCCTCCTTCAGCCCGTCCTTCCATCTCAGCCCAGTGGGGAGAAGGTCCAGCTGGTCACAGCACCTGTCAGGTAGGACACACACTCACACACTCACACACACACTCACCACACACTCACACACTCACACACTCACACACACACACACACACTCACACACTCACACACTCACTCACTCACTCACACTCACTCACACAGTAATGTATTGTTAACCCCCCTCTCTGTGTGTGTGTGTTAGTGGTTCGAGGTGTGTGGCGCAGTTCGAGTACGAGGGGCAGGAGGAAGACGGGCTGACTTTCTCTGAGGGTGATGTCATCTCTCTGA